TTGAATTGCAAGGTCTTTCTCATAATAAGAAAGTGCTTTTGGATAATTACCCATGTTGCGATATACCAAACCGATTTCGTTATAGGAATTACCCAACTTAAGGTGATTGGAAGGAAGTGTTTTTTGGTTTATAGCAAGTGATTTTTCATAATATGCAAGTGCTTCTTGATATTCTCCTTGATTACGTTTGATCATACCTAGTTGATGATAAATAGGTGCTTTGCCACTCTCATCCGTTGTTTGATGAAGTAAAACTTCATAAACTTCTTGAGCCTTGTTAAACTGACCCATTTTCTTTAGCAATAATCCTAATCTGTACCATCCTGTCGAATCTGGAAAGGTCTCTTGTCTGATACGATTAGTAAGAGTACGAAGATCTTGGTCGTTGTCGTTGGTCAATATTAAATTCACTTTATAGAGATGATTATTTCCATCCATTGGTTTAATATCTCCAATGCGAAAAATGGTATGCATAGAGAAGAGAACTTCATCATCTGTATGAAAATAACTAACATCACTAACAGAAGCAAATGGAGTTGTCGAGCGCGCGGAATTAATTGACATGACAAATAGAATTCCAACAAGATCAGGATTTGTAGCAGCTTGTTGTGCAAATTTAAGAGAAACATTACGATTTTTACTAGTTGATAAAAAGTTATTAAAAGAAAGAAGTCCACCTTTTGTTTTTGTCATTTCGGTGAAATCTTCTTTCGAAAGACCTTGTCCACGATAAACTATAAATGTTGTACCTGACTGATGACCATCAATTTGTTCTGAATGAAGTCGTTGAATATCACGATGTAGATCATTAATAAAGAAACCCATTCTAATAATCATATCAACATCCATTAATCTTAATGCTTGATTGAGCATACGATATAAAAATGCATCCCATGTATACCACCATATGGGTATGTTGTTTTTGTATGTTGTTTGTAGTTGATTAACGTTTTTTAATTCATTTTCATCATCTTCATATACTTCACGACAATAGGTAATAAATTCTTCCAAATGCTTATCTTCGAAGTTGATGGTTAATAAGATCTCTTTCAGGATCTGAGTATACATGAATGATGGATCTAATTGATCCAATTTCTTGTTTGATGCCACGAAGCTGATTGATGTGGCATTTTGCTCACATTGGTGGGCAGCTTGCTTGAGAGCTTCACAGATTGCTGTTATATCTGTGAAGACACCTTTTATTTTAGGCCATTCTTTAGCCCATTGTTTATGCCATTCTTGATTGTTACAAAAAATAAAAATGGTATCTACTTGCGACATGTTGTGTACGCAAGGTACAATATGTTGTCCAAGTGAACCAGAAACAATCATGCACACTTTGTTGTTGTTAATTGTTTGAATAAATTCAAGACACTGATTACCATCTGTAAACGTGTTTATGTTGTTAACTACACGTTTTAATTGTTTGATTGTATTACTACAATCAGCATTATTTTTATTAATATTGTTGTCCAACCAAATAAGGAGGACATTTTGCATTCTTTGCATGTTAATACGCCGATTTGGAGCTGCATCCCTGGTAAAGTTTGATACGTGCTTATCCTTAGCTTGTGTATTGGTTTGAACAGATGTTATTGCTTTGTTGTTCGCCATTGTTTGCTATAATGTAGGCTAGTTCAAGAAGAAATGTTTATAAATGAATGACAATAATGTTTTGTTTTATAGTATTAGAATTTTCTTCCGAGATTGTTCTTATCAGTATTTTACTTGGTTTTTGTATGTTTGTTAAATATACGCCGCAAAATGTTACAGGTATCAACAGAGATATTTATCAGTTACCGACAAACGAAAAGGACGTTAAAGTATGGTTATTGTTGACAATTTAAAAAAATAATCTGTTAGAAATAGTTCTTAAAATATTTGTCCTTGCAGAAAATCTCTAAAGAGAATTTTATATTTTTTCAGTCATTATTACAGAATGATATAAATTTACAATTATTTTTTGTTGGAACAATGAGGAAAAGATTAAAACTATTTCTATTATATAAACAGAAAAAGAAACATTTAATTGTTATATTTTTTGTTGATTATTCTTTTTTATCTTCTTTTTATTTTCATGAGTCACAGACTTCGCGTATGCATGTTCTATGATTCATATAATGTTATCAGAAAGATGCACATTCAGGTAAGTTAAAAAAATCCAGTATTAATATATTTTTAAAATGAATAAAATTCATAAATGTTCCTTTACATATTATTTATTTTCATACTAATGAGATGTTTGAAATGCATAAATTAACTATAATGCAATCATCTACTTGACTATTCTCACCTACTTGTCACTGGATAATTATCAGGTGTGAACTTTTATAAAGCTTTGCATCCTCTTAGTTATGTTACAATCTTCTGTGATAGACATTTACATATTTATTTTTACTTGTCAGTTTCATAAATTATTGTTCGTCTTATAAAAAGCATTGACAAGTATCTGTATATAGATGAGAAAAATCTATTGAAGACATTTCAATATCATCCAATTCTGAAAATAAAAAATTGAACTATCATACTTCTATTTATCTATTTCGAAGACATCCGTAATACAGATAACTATAATAATTTGAAATTTCTCACGTATTCATTTTATTATAGACTTTATCTAAAAGATCATTAGAATCTTGAGAGTGTATGTGTGAGATGAATAACCTGTGATATGACACTTTCACACATCCTACTATTTCACTGACATATACACGACGAATGATTTTATTACATCCATTAAAATTAACCGAGATTAGGTAGATCTCACCTATACCGCAACATACACTCACATCCTAAAATCATTTTTTTATTCAAACAAATAAAGCGGAATATGACATAATTGGATAAAATATGAGAAAAGGCTTTTGTTTCTATATGATTATAATACATATAAGTAATTATTAGAAGTTAATGAAATGAGTTATAAATGATGATTTGTTTTCTATTTCTATAAAATGAATAATAGTTTTTTATTGTGTCGTCATTCCAGCTACGATCAGTTCAATTGTCATAATCTCCTTAAAAAAAAGAAAATAAGAGATTTATCGGCATAAAAAATATATATGTTAAATTAAAAGAACAAACAATAGTCGCTATTGTTATGATAAGCAATTTACTAATAAAAAAATGTTTGTTTTCATGCATGATTCATAAACATATGTCTCTGTTAGAATTAATTTTTCGAAGAAAAAACTGTTTAAAATTAAAATTCTCATTATTACCTTGATCATCTTGATCACCTTCTTCAATTGTACGATCATCATCAATATTACTTCCATCATCCATGTCTCGATAATCAGTTGAATCATCTTGATCCCAATGCTCTTGACCTAAATCCTCAGTTTCAACTTTTCGAATAGTCCAAACATCAAAACAAAAATCTGGATTTGCTAAATAATCATACGGAATATAACAATAACCTTTATCTCCCTAGAAAAATAATATTAGCAATTGAAACATAATTATAAAAAAAGAACTCTTTACCCAATCTTCTCCCCATGAATTTCGAACAATAAATGATTGTGATTGATCACTATAACCTACGGCACAGATAGCATGACTAAGAGGGAAAAAAAGAAATATCTGTATGTTTATTATTACATTGAATAAAATACAGACCTGCCATGTGTTGCTCGACTAGTTTCGTCTTCACTCGGCATTGGTACAACACCAGTTTTAGATGCTTGATCAAATGATGTATAAAGTTTTAATCCGAATACAAATGGGAAACCTTGTGCTAAACATGATTTCATTTCATTTAAGTCAATATTAACTTGCATTGCTTGAGTTATTTTATGACCTGTTGCTGCTTGATATGCTTCATTAGATGGACGTGTATTCACTTGTGAAATATCATATGGCCAAATTGATTCAAGACAAACACCGGATTCTTCCAATGCTTCAATCACACATGTCAATGGGCATCCCGAATCAGTTACAGCATAGTTATTATATGCTTTAACACGGCCATTATAATAGATAAATAAACGACTTACGATATTATCATGATTCTTTTCTTTTTTTGACAAATATTCATAAGCACCTAGCAATAAAATACTTTTATATTTATATTAATCGAAATATAATATAGTTATTTTACCAGCTAATGAATTTGCTGTACTGAACACAAGAAAATCAAAAAGTAAATAAAATAATATGAAAAGAAATATTCTTACCAACTACCAATTTGAGATTGATCCTCGATGGGTGCCATGTGACTTCGTAAATCTGTTTTTGGTGGTAATTGATCAGGACCATAAATCATATGATCACTAAACCATTGACGTAGTTCTGCTTTATGTGGTAGATGTGTCGATTTTATTATACCATTAAGACGAAACTTTTGATTTTGATATCGATTGATCAAAAATTTTTTCAACGACATTTTGTTTACAGTACTTTCTGTTTAATAAAAATGTACTATTTAAAGTTTTACTCGACACGATGAAAAGAAGAAAAAAATATGCTTCGTAGCTCGTTTCTTTCTTCTCTATTTATTCTCCCCACCCATATTTTTAGCAGACATCAGATAAAAGCTTCGCTTTGTTTTTTTGTTTTTACTACTGACGTACGAAGAAGCAAAAAATCAGGGCGAAAAACAGAATGTCATTGTTTATTCAGTAAAAATAATTCAAATATGTCTAGAATATGTATTATTCCGTGGGATTTATCCACTGGGTAAATCCCACTTTCGTCGACGATGAATTGCGCCAAAACAAAATTCGCCGAAAATGTTTGTCGCCGGAGATGAATTTCGCCGAAAGAAATTTGCCAAATGAATTTTTCACCGAAAGCCCATACAAACTGCATATGATTGATCTCATAGGCAACAATTGAGGGTGTGGGTATGGGTGTGGGTATGGGGTGCGTCTGGGTGTGGGTCTGAATAGGTGTTATTTCTATTCTTACTAAGACACCCACACCCACCTACACCCTCAAGCTGGTATCCATATGAATTGGTAACCACAAGTAACGCTCGTTCGCGGACTCGCTTAGCTCTGTCTCGTAGAAATGCATCCCCTTTGTATTTACTGAAAAACAATCGAAAACCGTGCTGGGTGTGGGTGTAGGATGTAGTGAGGGTATGGGTGTAGGTGTGGTGAGGATATGGATCTGGGAAGGATGCGAATGTGGGTAGGACTGTGAATGTGTGTTTTGTTCTGATTCATTACCCACTTCCACCCTCACACCCACACCCACACCCACACCCTCAAGATATGTATCTTAAAAATAACGATAGGATAGCGCGAGTTTTCTTCAGATTTTACATATCTTATCGGAATCCACCATCTACGGGTGATTTTTCACGAATAAAAAGTGTTTTTTATTGATAATTTCCATGAATTTCTTTTCTTTCTAGAATTTAACGGTAACATGTAATTCAATAGCTATTTAACAGTTCTATAATCAAACTACAATGATTGACTCTTCAATTTTGTTGCTCTATATGTGCTTATATATTATAACTTTTATTCTGCTTAAATGAATAAAATCTTGATCTAAAGATATTTCTTCTCATAAGACTATAGTACTTCATTTTTAAAAGCATTGTGAGAGAGCATGCAGATTTTATGAAATTAACAGAGTGAATGTGTGAAACTTATAGAGATATAAGTAGTGCTTTCACACTACACTACATCCACATAGTCAGTTAAATCGATTTATTAAATATATAGTTTGCATAAAAGTTATACTGTTACAGAAAAGACTGCTGTCCATACATCCATCGTGCTAATTTTTTTATTTTGTAGCTTTAGTGTTTCTATGGCTGATATCATTGCATCTCTTATAGCACAGACAGTCACCTGCTCATTGATATGAACTACTTTTTGATTGACTGCTTGCAGGAAATCGTTACTCAAGACAATATTTGTTTCCCATTCTCCATCGAGTAAATCTTCTGCAGGAGTAAGGATGGTCGAGGTTACTAAATGAAATCCGATCTTTTTGATTATTTCGCTAATTGCTATTGGAGAAAGAAGTGTTCGAATATTCGTTGTCCAAGTCGGGTCTCTCAGAAAAAGTGTATTTTGAGCCAACACAGAGAGAATATGTGGAAAAGCATTGTTCGAAGTTGTCGAAAGTGCATATTCAGCTATACATACACGTTGAACACGTCCTTTGAGTGCCTGTAAGATATCTTGTAGTATATCTGGAGAAGCGAAATACCAGATGGAGTGCGCTAGTACAGCAACATCATATTTCATTGATAGATTATCAGAAAGAAATTGTTGAACTTCAGTCTGTTTAAATGTAATTTGTGCTCCTAGTTGCGAATTCTTTAGATGTTCTTGAGCTTGTCCAAGAGTATAAGGTGCTCCTATAAAATTTTACAATAACCTAAAAAGTATAATCATGAAAGAAAATTACCATAAGACAGATCTCCAGGATCAATTCCAGTGACATGACCTAATGATCCTACTAGGGAGGCAAGCACTGCTGTGCAGTCACCTTGACCACAACCAATCTCGAGCACATTTGATCCAGGTTGTATCGACCATATTTGAGCTAATTTTAAACGATGTTCTGTTTGAGCGACTTGTATAAAAACGTGTTCAGGATCGTGCAAACAACAAGAAGCGATTCGAATAGCTTGTTCAGACATCACTATTAGGAGCTAATGGTAATAGTTATCTAAAATTTGACAAAATAATTCTACATTTTCTGTATAACATAGTTATACGCTACCGTCGAACGAAAAACATATGTATGAGAATAAATAGTTTCGTTACTGCTACATCATTTATTTTATTGTAGTCATACTGGCAAACTGAAGATGTAGCGTTACCTTTATCACCAGTAAGAAGAGTGAAAGAGAAGAATACACATACACGATATAGATAATAATTAATGTGTCGATAGAGAAGAAAACGATTTGTATTTTTAACAAGGCATATTGGCTTTTTACACATAATAAATATGTTATCGTGATTGACGATATAAAATCATATTCAAGACTATTTCATCAGATAAACGAAAGCAACCAAATTTATTGTAACATATGTCGCCATAGTATATTTCTTAGGCATTTTATCATAGAGGAAGACATATCTTGAGTATATAGATGGAAGCACGCAACCGAAAACTGAGTCGCTTATATTCATATTCACTCGCTCAGATTTACATGTGTATACTCACCATTCATCGCCGATATTCCTCTACTTTATGTTTCTTCTACTCAAAAAGACAAAGATCTTTAATATTATCATTCATGACTAGATTAAAACAATCGTGAGGATGTGATTGATATAAGAACGAAGAGAAAGAGATGAATATGAAATTCTGACAAAACGACCTTTAATCTGCTGCTTGTCAACAAAGGCACTCTGCTTCCAGATGAAATCGAGAAAAGTGGAAACTTTCTTGCACGAATCGTTATTGAGAAAATTGAAAAGAATATAGTATATTATTTGAAAAAAAATAACTGTTTTGAAATGAATAGTTTCACATAAACAATATCTTATTTTCTTATTGATTTTGCGTGTTCATTTACATGTTTTATTCGATCATTTTGAGTCATACGTTTAGGAAATGTCATAAAACATATACGACATTTATCGATTGATTTTTGAGATGTAGACATAGATGGGCGAATCGGTTTTCTTAAAAATAAATTAAATGTTAGTTATTTCTATCGCTACAAATAACTATAGATGAATATTTTACTTGTTAGTGTATGGTTTCTTCGTGGTTCGTTGTTTTCGGTTTTCTTCATCCGAATCTGTAGATGAATATGATCGAAAATGATGTCTTAAGAAAAAATCAACGTTTGATATCTTTCATTTCGAATAGAAAATTTTAATAGTAAAATATTTACATGCAGGATGATGCTGTTTTTGTAGTTCTTTGTTTTGGTAGCTCTTCCTCCACTGGTTTAACATTCCAAATAATATCGACATGTTTTTCAACATCAAGTTTTTGAGTGATGATACGAATATCTGGATCATTTATTCGTTCTTGTTCATTTCTTTTTATTTCATTGATCTGTTTTTTCAGTTTATCTATCTGTCTATATGCTATATTACCTTCGCTCAGTAATTCTCCAAGTTCACGACGTATAGTTTTGAGTGATTCAACATTTTGCGTTGTTTTTTTAGTTAATTCTGCATTATGTTTTTCTAAAATAAGAGCTAGTTGCCTTTGAGCTTGATCGTAAACACTATCAATGTGATGATAACAATCAGAACGCCATTGATCGAGTTGTTCACGTACATCTGTTAGACACTGAAGCGTAGCCATTGTTTGATCTTTATCACAGTGATGAAAGTGATCGTGCATTGTATTCGCATCATTAATAATTGGTAAAAGTTGATCTTGTATCCATTCTTTATGCTCAGTAGAGTGAGTAGTGCACAAATCTTGTGAACAATGGTAACAATAGGTTGCTGCTTGTTTTTTACATCCCGTTATTAAACAGTCTTTCGTCATTTAGTGTATAGATTTATACGTTCTTTTCTTTTAACAACAATTCATCACATAACAATGCGACAATCAAGAAAAAAAATGAAAGAAGAAAAACATCAATGCAACATATAAAAATCAAATGTCCAAAGCAAACTTTATTTGCATTTCATAAGTAAACACAACAAAAGCGAACGAACATGCAAACCATGCTATGATGACAAGTTAATAATGTATTATAATATGACATATATTTTTTCTTCATAATTTTATTGCACAATCACCATGTAAAAAATTTCATTTTGCGTTTGTTTTTCTTTTTATGCGTTGCATAGTGAAAATAGAACCTACGTAGTGTGGTATTATTTACGCTCATATGGGCATCTTTGAGATAGCAAGTTTTCAATTAATTTTAAAATTAATATTGAGAAAAACAATTCAAATTGTTAGAAAGCGGAGTATCAATTATTAGTTTATTAATTTAAAAAGTACTAGGTAAAATGTGAATTACATGCAAATAGATGAATGAACAAATTTTAATTGTTTTTTTTTCTTCATTATATGAAAAATGATCGCTTTAACGTAGAATAATCCAAAGAGCATGGATCAAACCTAAAAGGTAAATAAATAATATATATATAGATTGATATTGTTGAATGAGTTATGAATAATAATCATATTTACCTGGTACCCAGAATAGAATAGTTAAAATAATATTAATTATAACATTGTTGTTCAATGCATTTTCATGCAAGAAAACAGCCAATGGTGGAATAAAAAGAGCAAGAATAACCAAAATTATTTGATCAACCATGTTAATAAATTTGACTTCCTTTCTATATCTAAAAAGCAAAAAAAAAAGATTCGGTCATAAGAAGAACTAATGACAAACATATGATTGTATCATATTAATATTCTTCATTTCGTATCAAGAAAGATTGATAAGACGTTATAGTTTGCTGTAGGATGACAGTCAAGATAAAAGCATTATACGGATCAACTTGCAGCAAACATTATAGAAAAATATACATACAGATAATGAAATGATTGATCTTATATATATTCACATATAAATAGTTTTCATTCGATATTTATATGCATGTTAGTATAAAGAGATACGGCCATGATAATAAACCAGATACAATGGTGAAATAAATGTAATAAAATATCTTACTTTTATCATTGTGTAGGATGTTGTGAAGAGACATTTTATGAGAGGTTATTCTCTCACTTTTTATCATGAAATAATAGAAAGAAGTTTTGTCAATATTGACCATTTTTTAAATATAGAATAAAGATATCTTTGTTTGAAGCAACGATATTTTAGAAACATTGATACTGTGTAACTGAAAAACAAAAAAAAGCTAGAAAAATGTATGGGATAAGTGAATCTTCGCGACAATGAAATATAAACATACTGAATACAAACTTTGTTATTAGTATATCTATCGCGAATGGCCTCGTATAATCCTTTTCTTATTATATATATCGATAGTATTCACAACTATATCAGTCGATATAGATCTGTCTGCAAGTTAGACAGCCGTCTGTCTTCTACAAGCAGCTCTGCTGTTTGTCTATCAATCATTTTCTGACTCGTACCTACATTCTATATCATCTTTTCTAGCAGTAATTTCTTGAATGTATAAAAGCTTTATTACTGACATTTTATTCTATCGTTGTTGATGTAATTTCAGTTGCTTTATATAAATATATTTTAACTCGCATTGCACATAGACAATGAGTAAGAATCACTAATCCACTTTATAGATCAATAATAATTTTGAGGATGTGTTGTGTATGATGAATATAATACCTACGCTCATTCATTCACACCGTCACGATCTTGAGGTTATAGACGTGGATAGACAGTTAGATAAAGCTTCAATAATCTTTTATACAATCCTACTTGTTTACATAAATAAGCATGGTTTTTTTCTTTATTTGATCGTTACAAAAAATTAAATACTAATAGCATTATCTAAATTATTACATCAGTCCAGATAACTGTGTCTGCATACTTATTTTCATTTGTTGATTTTGAATTTGGAGCTAATTCTTGAGCATATTGATGAAGTAATTGTCGTCTTTCGGATTTTGTTAAATTTCCATCCCTAGGATCGTCTCGCGCCCATTTAGACATTACTAGAGTTTGAAATTGATCGATGTCCTGTACATCAATCCAATCCAGACCAATATATAGATCAGAAGTTTTGTTTTGTGATTGGTTTTCTTTTGATGAACGTTGATTTATTGTAGATTGTCCATCAACAATCATATCACTAAATAAATTTCCTGTAACCATTGGATTGATAGAAAATTGAATATTTTGTGTTTTTTTAAATAGACCTAATGGTCCGTATGCCCAATCCGATGGTTGCCATATTGCAGATGTAGCGGATACATTTGCTGCCCACATTTGTGCATTGAATGATGGTTGAATGAGTATAGTACAATTTTGAGAATCGAGATATGATAAAACATTTGAATAAAATGCATCTATACAGATGGCTATACATAAATTATTCGGTTCAATCACTCGATTATCTTCAAGTTTTCCTGGTACTAATTGTAATAATTCAATCTCTGCTGGAGTTAAATGACATTTATCACGACTAGCAATCAAACTACCATTGGGTGCATAAACATGAGCTGTATTATAAATTTCTTTTGTTAATGGTAGATAGACTTCTGTTTGATTTGGATAAAGATCAGGATCACCATAAAATTCAATATCTTTCGGATCTGTTGATCGCATTAGTCTTGGACCTATTGTAGCTGAAACAATAGTAGCATTTAGTGATCGAGATAAAGATGAAAACGTTTGATTGAATGATCTCCACATAACATCACTCAAAGATAATTCTAGAGCGTTTATCATTGAAATATTTGGATATTTTATCAAATACGATGTCATTTGTTTTTCATAAGATTGCATTAATGAGAGTAATGCATCTTGAATTGTTCCTGATTGTGTACGAGCATGTTGACCACGTGTACCAATAAAAGCTGCCGTAAATCCAGTTGATTCACCAAAAACAATAATTGTAGAGTCATGTGATTTCAAGTCATATAAATCCGTACGATTAAACTGATTAAACCATGTCTCATAAGTTACAGATGCATCAATTGACTGGCGATGTCCAATGGCTATCAAACGAAGTGATTCTACTCTTATCGAAAGCAGACAAAAATAAAGAAAGAATAATAATTTCATCTATTATACGCAAACAGATACCGCCTTGCAATGACAAAACATTCATATATTGTTGATTGTAGGAAAAGAGATGATAACTTATCACATTTTTTTTTCTTTATGAAATACATGCATTTAAAGAAAAAGAATTCATTTATTTATATCAATATAAGACAAGTATGGTCCGAAATGAACTAATCTATAAACTCATCTAAAGAGAATATTGCGCTTGCAGTCAATTTCTTCTTTAATGTCATTGGTACATTGCTTGCGCCAATAACAGAAAAAAACTAATATTATTACGATGAAAGAAAATGTTTACATCATTTTTTTTCAGACAGACAAGCAAAAATGTCATTAGCTAAACGTATAAAATATCCGAGTGTTATTGAACGGTATTATACAAAATATTATTGTAAAAATGTCCATAATGAATTAAATAATGATACACTTGTACTTGTTCATTCCAATCGTATTTGTGTTTTGATGCTTTCGGAACGACATCCAATTATTGAAAAATCCTTGAAAATTGATTCTATTGAATCACTTGCGAGTGTTAATCTATCAATGAGTGGTAAATCAAAACGTGGTGCTGATTATGTTCAACCAAATAAATTACTTTATCGTATAAAATGTGAAAATAATCAAAATTTTACTATATGTGCAAGTATAAAAGGACGTTTGGTTGAAGTAAATGATGAAATTATAAAAACACCTTCACTTTTACAACAAAAAGCACAAGGTGAAGGTTATTTAGCAATATTTATTCCATCATTAAAAGATGGAGAAAATAACTTAAACTCTTTAATGACTGAACAAGATTATAATGTATCAAAACAATCTTCATAAAATCATTCCTTTATTTTCTTAACGTGTGAGTTAAAGAAAACTATGAACAATTTTGTTCTTCATTTTTCTAGATCATTTCTCGTTATTTGCTTCTTTTTCTCGTGAGAGTAAGGAAGCATGTGTGTGTGTGTGTGAGGTTTTTTTTGTTATGCATCTTCCCTTCATGTTTTTTTGTTTAAAATAAAATGAGATTAATCCTCTAATGTATCTTCTAGTTAAGCCACACAATCATGGGTTGGGAAGATCTACCAACTATTTTATTAGAAGATATCTTCAGTTTTCTTTCACTCTCTTATCGATATAATTGTTCTCAAGTTTGTCGATCATGGTAGACCTATTAGATTTATTTATTGATATTTACTAATCGATTTCATTTAGGTATGAAACATTTCATTCACCTGTTATTTGGTATACACTTACATTTGATGGTATATTATTTACACGTAAAAGATTTCATTTCTATCGTGGTATGGAACGTATTTTTAATCCATATCGTACTCAATTTTATTTATCACGTAAAGGTGAACATTTAAGACGATTAATAATTAAACCGATTATTGAATATAATAATATGTGTGATTTTCTTAATATGTTAACTAATTTTATTAACTATCGTGATCATAATAATTATCCATTTCGATATCTTGAAGAATTTTCATTTACATTTTATGTTTTAATATCTTATGATAATGATTTAAATAATCAAAATGCATTTATGAATCATTATTATCAAGAATCAAATGTATTTATACGTGGTAAAAAACGTTATTATGGTACAGGTGGTGTTATTTTACAAACATTACGTCGTTTTATATCATCGATACGTTGTTTAAAACGTTTTCATTTAAATAATCTTTTTCTTGGATCAGATTCTGATATAGGTGCATGTTTAGATGAACTTATTGAACATTCATGTGAAACACTTCAGTATATTGAAATACTTAATTATACATCACATACTATACCATTGTACATCGTTGGATTATTTTCAAATTTAAATACAATATCAATTAGTTCGCATTCATTGGATGAAAATGTTTTACTTCTGTTTGCTAACCATTTAATTCATTTATATCGTTTAAATATTGTACAAGATGAATTAACTACACCGTGTCGATATCCAGATACAGTTTGGAGTGAAATTGAAATTATTTTACGTGAAAATAAAAGACAATGGTTTATTCAAATGATTACACAAGGAAAATGTAAATGTGAACCATATTGGCCTGGAAGTCCAGCACCTGTACGTGCTATTGTTTATAATACATGCTCAATTAAAGTTGATAAAACATCGATTTATACTTGTATGGAACAATATAAGACTACGTTGGAAACTTATGTAAGTGAAAAACAAGAGATTCCAGAATTTTGCTAATGTCCTTATGTGATTACATATGTATAAAAATAGCTCCTGGTAACTATATTGAGGGGTTTAGACTACAATATGTTTATTCTGATAATATTAGATTTATTTGTCACATGCATTTTATACTAATTGTGTGTTAGTACGGTTGGTGAAGAGACAGTAAGCCAAAAATAATAGATACGAGTTACCATTACATCACTTCTATTAAAAGATCAGCTAGTTGAGACATAGGTATTTAAGTTAACATCTAAGTCTCGTTTTTGTATATGATTTTATTTGATCGCAATCATAAACGACTTTGATGTGCTATTACGTAAATCCATAAAAGATACATCCGAGACAGTTGTTGTCGCGACATTTGCTCTTCAATGTCAACTGTCAGTCGACAACATGAATATTATTCATATGAAGAGGACAAAATTACTCTGCTCTGTTTTCTTTTAGTTACTTATTTAATATCGTATGTAGACGATATAAGTAGTTAATAGCTTCGGAGAAAAGATAAGCCAATAAATTATGCTTAACATTTTGAGCAAGTCTAGCTTTTAATCGGGGTAAAATCTCTTCGCCAATTAGCGAACAAGATAACAGGAAATATATTTTTTATTGGCGAATATGATACTAGCAAATATATCATTTATTGGCGAACTTCATACTAGAAATTCGCCAATTGGTGAACATGGTAATAGGAAATACTTCATTTATTGGAGAACGTCATTCTGATAATTTGCCAACTTTATAGAGGACATATATTATTGTACTAGAATGAAACGTTCTCTGTTATGATCCGATTCCTAGATCAGATCATAATGCTGTCCTGGATGTATTAGGGTGTAATATCTTCTCAAGATACCATCTCAGTGATAACACTTAGATCTAACTACAATTGAAATAAAACTAGTTGCGTTGTCTTCTATTATCATTGTGTTCAATAAATTATTTTGTAACTTCTAAAAAGTCTATTTCATACTATTGAAGATCTTAACTAAAGCTTATCGAAACAAAAATTCTTCGGTAGAATTTTTATTCAAGATTGAGTGCATAAGTTGAAATGTTAATAGAATCAAAGAAAACAATATTCTTATTGCAATTCTATTTTTCTAGGCTCATCTAAAATCAATGTGTCGAGTTTATGTACCACGTTCATTTTTAGAACGTGCTGATACAGCTTATATAGGTGTTGTAAAAACATTTCGATATTTACATACAATAGCAATTAAAGAACGAATTTCAACAGCAACTTGTCTTCTTATAGCTTATTATGGTACGAGAAATAATCTTAAACAATTTTATCTTCGTCGTAATTGTGTTATTTTACGAAATGAATATCGTAAATATTTATTTAATGAAAACGGTGATAATAATGAATTTATACATATATGGTTAGAAAAAAATTGTCGACAATATAATCAAGTAGAAGATGCTGTAACAATATTATTTGGACGACAATGGAAAATGCTCACTGATTGGGAATATAATCAAATTCGTGTTTGAATTCTAGTCTTTCCTTTCCGTTGTTCTTGATAGATAAAAACCAGTGTTCCTTTTTGTTAGTTTTGTATAAAATAAAATTAAGTACCACGAAATATTCAATCTTGTATTTTATCTATGATAATTAAAACAAAAAATGGAGGCAGTGGGGATTGAACTCACGACCTATCGCATGCGAAGCGATCGCTCTACCACTGAGCTATGCCCCCGTATGCCGCTGATAAAAAACTTTTGTATTCTCTAATAACATATATTAACTGGGTAAATCTATATACTTAAATTATTTTCATTCTATGAAATAAAAAATTCATTTTCATTAAATAACCTGGTTTTTTATTATAATGCAGAACTAGAAAAAAAAACAATCAAACGATTATAAGGAACAAAAACTATTGAAAAACATGTTTATTTGTTTTGTTGATCTTGTTTAGTTTTATCTTCATCAGATGATTGTTGATCCGATGATGATGACGATTGCTGATCTGATGAGGACGATGATGATGATGATGATTGCGAACCTTCACGATCAGCTTGCATCTAAAGCAAAAAAAAACAGTATTGATCATAAATGAAATAAAAATTGATGCATACCTTTTTATAAGCAGTTTCAAATAATTTCAAACTTTGCTTTTGAAATTCATCAGCAGCTTCTTTTACACTTTGTACTGATTCGCTATCTTTATTTGATAATTTTTCACGTAATTTCGATGCACCTTCTTTTAATTTTGAATACTATAATGAAAAACAATAATAATTTCATATAAAATTTTATTTAGTTGTTTTTTACTTCATCAGCTGGTAATTGATCTTTATATTCTTCCATTTTGGATTCGGTATCATGTAAAATTGATTCAATACGATTAACTTCTTCGATCATTTCACGACGTTTTTTATCATCAGCTGAATGTTTTTCAGCAGCACGAACCATATTTTCAATGTCATCTTTACTTAAACCACCACTTGATTGAATAACAACTGTAAACAAAATAAAACTCAAAATTAATTAATTAAAAAAATTTCGTTTTACTTTGTTGTTCTTTTCCGGTACCACGATCACGAGCAGATACATGTACAATACCATTAGCATCAATATCAAATGTAACTTCAATTTGTGGAACACTAATTTAAAATGCAAAAATCTAGATTTCAGTTTCGATTATATTTTTTGATTTTCTTACCCACGTGGTGCAGGTGGAATACCAATCTAAAGAATAGAAAGCAATTTTTTAGTGGAATAGAAAGATTTTTTCAAACATACTAAATTAAATCGTCCGAGTAATTTATTATCCGCAGCCATTTCACGTTCACCTTGATGTACTTTGATTTCCACTTGTGTTTGACCATCAGCTGCAGTGGAAAAAACCTAAGAAAAACCAAATATTTTTCTCCTGTAATTCTAATTGCGACTTGTCCATGTGAAATGTGATTGCGTCACGCTTTGCTTGCTTTATTACGCATAAATGACTTAGTATCTACGATCAATTAGATTTTTCATTCATTACAAAAGACCGTGACAGAATCAACCCCTTCCGTAGACAAGCTGATTGATAAATTTTCTAATAATATTTACTTGACTCTTCTTCGTTGGTATGGTTGTATTACGATTAATAAGTTTGGTAAATACACCACCTAATGTTTCAAGACCCAATGAAAGTGGTGTAACATCAAGTAGAAGAAGATCAGTTACATCACCACCAAGAACACCACCCTAATGTATATATTTTTTTTACAATAAAACAAATTAAATAAAAAATTTAATTTACTTGAATAGCAGCACCCATAGCAACAGCTTCATCAGGATTAACAGATTTATTTGGAGCTTTACCAAACACTTCTTGAACAGTTTGTTGAACCTTATGAATACAAAGAATAAAAATATGATTACTTCTTATCATCGATCAAAACAATATCTCAATCAACTAAAGTAAGTTTCACTTTGTCACTAGGTTAATCTTGACTCGTTTCAATCTGAATGACTGATCTTTAAATTCGTCCTTACTTTAGGCATTCGACTCATACCACCGACAAGAATAACTTCATTAATATCTGCAATTTTAACATCAGCATCTTTGATGGCTTTTTTACATGGTTCTAAAAATATATAAATCAGTTTAATCAAAAATTGACTTTAATAAGTTATTCTTACCAATTGTTCGTTTAATTAAATTTGAAACAAGATTTTCAAATTGAGCACGTGTTATTTTATAATTCATATGTTTAGGACCGGATTTATCCATTGTTAAATAAGGTAAATTAATATCAGTCTAGATAAAATATTTCAAAATTTGATTTATTTCAAAATTTCTTCTTACTTGTGCAGCTGATGATAATTCACATTTAGCTTTTTCAGCAGCTTCTCTTAAACGTTGCATTGCTTGTGGATCTTTTGTAATATCAATACCACTCTTTTCAAAAAAAGAAAATCCAAAAAATTATTTAAATAAATATTGAAAAATTCTTTACTTCTTTTTTAAATTCAGCGACAAGATGTTTCAATAGAGTATTATCAAAATCTTCACCACCTAAAAATGTATCACCATTTGTTGAACGTACTTCAAATACATTTGATTGCATTTCAAGAATTGAAATATCAAATGTACCACCACCAAGATCATAGACAGCAATACTAAATAAATCATATATTTCTTAGTAGATAAAGAATTTTTTTCTTATTTTTACATTTTATCATTCGTTTGTTCGAGACCATAAGCAAGTGCAGCTGCTGTTGGTTCATTAACAACACGAAGAACATTTAAACCAGCTATTTGACCAGCATCTTTTGTTGCCTAAAATTAATTTTTACAATAACGAAAAATTTCGATTTAAAACAAACCTGTCTTTGTGAATCATTAAAATAGGCTGGAACAGTAACAACAGCATTTTTAACAGGTGAACCATAATAATTCTCAGCTGTTTCTTTCATTTTTATTAAAACAAAAGCACCGATTTGACTTGGAGAATATGTTTTACCATTAGCATCAACCCATGCATCACCATTTGATGCACGAACAATTTTAAATGAGACACTTTGCCTATTTGAAATAAAATAATGAAAATTTTTTTGAGTTTTAAACTTTGAATTTTACATTTCTTTTTTAACTTCATCATCATTAAATTTTCTTCCTATGAGACGTTTTGTTGCATAGAATGTATTTTGAGGATTTGTTACTGCTTGACGTTTAGCAGGCATACCAACGAGACGTTCATTATCTTTTGAAAATGCAACTACTGATGGTGTTGTTCGCATACCTAAACACACACATTTTAATAGATTTTAAGTTGATTATTTTTATATTTACAAACCTTCAGCATTTTCAAGGACTTTAGGTGATTTGCCTTCCATTATAGCAACACATGAGTTTGTTGTTCCAAGATCAATACCAATGATATGACCTTTAACTTTACCTCCACCTCCACTAGCTTTTGACACATCTTTTGAATCACTAAAGAAATTTTCTGATAGATTGTATTAAATAGATTTAATGTAGAATTTACCTTTTGTTACGAATACTTTGTGCTTGAATAGTTGCCTAGAAAATCAGAGATTTAAAGAGAAAAATTGAGAGAAATATAATTTTACTCGAATTATGGATGATTGTTCATGATTAATTCGTGGTGTTAAATGTTTTAAACATGCGTTGAATACTCGTTTTTGGACGAACATTGTGATTGAATAATCTGAAACTAATGGAAAATCGTTGTATTTATCATATTATCAAAAGTGATAGAAGAACCTAGAAAATGCCAGAGTGCCTGTATATAAGCATGGCATCTGATTGGTCATCAATATCGATAATGATTGGTGCATCCTCCATCCGTATAGTTATTTGAATCTAGAGAACGTTTTCAAGACGATAATTATCATTTTCCTCAAAGAGATAAACCGCATAATAATTGAATCATAAGAGACATAGTGAGTACTCAGTATTCATATAAGAAAATGAGAGAATTCTGAAAGATTATTTTTGTAGATGTCGCACTCGTACGATGTACTTAGTTCTCCTCATATATATTAATCAAAATCTAGGTACAAATATTGGCAATTTGATCTGTCTGGGTTTATTAATATTCTAATACTTTCTTTCTCTTTCGGCGATAATAACGACAAAATATTTGAGTAAGTGAAATATTCTAAAATAGAATAACCAAGTATGTTCTCAATCGCTCATATTTATATTATTGCTTAGTCGGACTTTATATATGAACTAGTGATGTTATTTTATTTCAATTTTTTTATTATCATTCAAAAGAAAAAATGATTTTTTCTCAATAATAATCTTTTAAGCAAAGGTAGCACGTGCAACACCAATACCACGAAATTCCCAATGCCATGGTTCACTTTGAACTGTACGAGTAAATCCGTAATTATGAGCATTATTATACAACCATTGGTAAACAGCACTTCCACCACAATTTGGTTTTGCACCTGTTTGTCCACCACAATCAGTATTTATATCAAGAGCAATACCTTTGCCATGATTTGATGAACCTGGTCGAGCAGCTAAATTACCATTGTTACATGATTTTGTTTGATAACAATTCCAGAAATATTCTTGACGAGCAATTGTACGAAAACCAGAACTGATTTTAACTGATACACCAGCATTTTTAGCAGCTGTAGCCATAGTATCAAAAGCACAAGCTGTTGATGTTGTCATGGTATTGTCTGATGCAGTTGGTGCTAATGAAGCTGAACTTGGAGTAGTCAAGTGTTCAGCTTTTATTTTAACTACTGAATACATAACATTATCATTACCAGCAATTGAACTGACAATGGCACCTGTATAACCACCACAAAGTCCGGCACTTGAACCTGCTGATGCAGTAGCAATACAGCATTTAATATTAGCTGCACCAGGACACAAACCACTTACTGTTCTACCTGTACATGTTGTTGAATCCTTACAGGTACCTACTGCACCGTTATCCGAGCAACTTTGTGCGATGATTGGTGCGACTAAACCAACAATGAGAATAATGGAAGTATATAATGAAACCATTCTTTCAATTGAATATAGAACAAAACTTGACTGAGTTTGTCTGTGATATTCGGAGGGTTTATATATGACATAGATTGTTATTGTTTTTCATATAGTATTCAATTTCATTTAAAAATAAATCAAATAGAGGATAAAAAGCTTACTCAACAATCGAATTAATAAGTTATTGTCCTATGTATACGCCTCTATCAGATCATATTTTCAAATGCCTTATTCAAATAAAAAACAAGTCACATTTATTTCGCAGAAGCCCCTATCAACTGTCGTATTCCAATTAAAACAATCTATATGTCACACCCTTCAAATGATATCTATTTCTTTTTTGCTTTAATATCAAATAAGTGTTTTTCATGTGATATATCAAACTTTTTAATTACAAGAATTTTAATAAATTTGCAAAAATGATTTACAGTGATATTTGAATCATATAGTCGTATTTTGAGCGATGCCATATTACTCAATATTTTAATTGAGGTATTTATATTTATGTAAACCCGTAACATTTCAGACTCCTTAATGAATAACGATAAAATATATTTTTTGTTGAAGTATTAACAAACGAAATCTGATAATAAATAGTTTCGAATAAAATAATGCGATTAATATATTACAGTTTGTTTACAATCAGTGTACAAGTGCAAAGGTTATGAATCATATATCTTAGGCAATAATTTATTATGTATCAGTAAGAAGAAAAATAGAAGCATTTAATAAGTCACGTTTTTTTTATGAGATACATATACTACGAAGAAATAAACGAAAAAAATAATACCCATTTCAAACATTGATTACGCTACACAATAGTATAGATAACATTCGTATTATTAAATATGGCGAATAATAATAATCGATCTCTTGAACAACCAGTATCTAATTTTGTTGATCAAAGAACAACATCAGTTATGGAACCTATGACTCTTCATTATCAACCTAATCGTCAAGCTTCTTCAACAACAAATAAAATATTTGGTGTTACAATTTTTATTTTAATAATTATTCTTCTCGCATATATATTTTTTCATGGACAAATCACGGATACTAAACTTAGTCGTTTAACAAATAGTGTTTCGAATTCAAACGATCTAAAACAAGTATTTCAAGATATGAATCGTTCACTTAAATCAATTGAACTTCTTCTTATGACACAGAAGAAAACAAATATTGATATTATTTTAAATGGAAAAGATCTCCATCAATTTGCCTCCAATCCAACAGTATTAAATGAGTTTTTACGCAAAACTAAAGAACAATTATAAACCATTTTTTCTTGTATTCAGATTGATGTTTTTTTTCTATACAATGGGAGAAATAAATTTAGCTTAATATGTTCACATGATTATTTTTATTTTTAAGAATACAATATAATCATGTTTTATTTTTATTAACTGAGATAGATATATTTTTCTAAAGTCATACATTTAATTTGAATTAGAGGAAAAGAATAAATTTTTGTATAAATGTACATGTGTCATTTGTGATATGAATTGAAAAATTTCATTTACGATTAAATAGATTCTTAAATCGTGATGCTTTTGGTGTCTATAAAATAAAATCGAATAATTTTAATAGAAATTTAATTAAGAATTTCTTACTTCAGATCCATTTTTATTTTCATTAATAATTCTTTGTCGTACTGATTGTTCATCATGAATTGCTCCACCTTTACGAATAAAACTAGCTGAAAATTGATCTGGATCTCGTTCCATGGTTTCAAGTGCATAAGCTGTACGTAAATGTTTTGGTTGACTAAGATTTCGACGTTGTAGTTCTGTCATACGTCGATCATAATCAATTGGACCTAAGTCAAGATGAATTGGTTCATCTTCATTTTCTATTTCTATTAAAACAAACAGATAATAAGAATAATTAAAAAAAAGAATCTTTTTACCATATTTTGTTATAAGATCAGTTGAACGAGTATTTCTAAAAAATAAAGAAGATACAAAATAGTGTTATTTAATAAGAAATATTTTATTTACAAAGGAAAATTATTGTAGGATTGATTTTTATGTAAAAGTAATGCTAAATCATCATGATCTAATGAACGTGTATCATCCATTTTATCATCTAAATATACAAAAAAATATTTATGATAATTAAAAGAATATGTATTTTACTTGTACGACGCATAACACGCATATCAAGACTTGGTGAACGAATAAGACGTGAAATTGATTTATTATTATTTTCAATTGATTGTAAAACAGCGGGTGGTTGATGATGAACAGTTGTACTTGTTGTCATTGCTGTTTGTTGTTGTTGCTGTTGTTGTTTTTTAACTTGTCGTAAATTTCTATCAGCAAATTCAAGTTGAGCAATTAAAGGTAAACGTTCACTTTCTAATTGATTACAACGTGATCGAAGAGCTGAAGCTTGTTTTTGTAATTCATCATAATCATGTAATGTTTTTGAATGAATAGATTTTAAATCATCTAATTCTTGTTCAGTCTAAAATAGAGGAAGATTTTATAAAGGGTGAGTCGGTGTGGGTGGACGTGGGTGCGGGTGGATGTGGGCGTGAGTGTGGGTGTGTGCGGGTATTCCATTAACCTTACTCTGACACCCACACAAAGATGGGTAACTCCGGGGGTAAGCAACTCCACTCCAACTCTACCTCGTTTCTCACAACTCCGCTCCAACTCCAACTCCGATGTTTGCGATTTCAACTCCAACTCCACCCCAACTCTATCTCGTTTTTCACAACTCCACTTTAACTCCAAGTAAAAAAGCGTCAACTCCGGAGTTGGAGTTGCCCATATTTGTACCCACACCCACCCACCCACCCAATTAAGTATACTAATCTTTCGAGTATTCTGTTTAATTCTACTTCTGACATGCAAAAGTTCTTACACATTCATTTATACCTTTTTATGTGTAACTTTCGATTTTTCATAATGTTCACGTAAATCTTCACCATATTTTTCAAGTTCTTTTATATCTTGATTAAATAATCTTGCTGCTTTTTTTAACTTAAATAAAAAAGAAAGAAAGAATTCAGACATATTTTTTTTTCGTTTAAAACTTACATTTTCTACTTCTTCAATTTTATCTTTTAAAGCTTGTTCAGCTTTTGAAACTTTCATTTGTGCATCGGTATATTCTGTTTGTGAATGTACTTTTTCTTGAATAATACTTTCATACATTTCACGTACATGTTGTACTTGTAATTTAAGTTCAGTTTCACGTTCTTCTTGTTCATTTAATTTACTTTCATACATTGAACATGTATTTGTTAATTTATCATATTGCATTTGTAAATCAATTAAACGTGTTTGACAATTATCACGATCAAATTTTATATGATCAATTTCAACTTTTAATGAATCAATTTTTGTTAAAAGACTAACAATTTCAGCTGATTTTAATGAAACTTGTTCATTAAGTAAACCAAGTTGATGTCGTAAGTCAAAAGATTTAACAATTTCAGAATTAAGTTCACTACTTTGCCCGTGCAGTTTACTTTTTAACGAAATGATTTCACTACGAACAAGATTACATTCATCAGTCTAAAATATATATGTATAAAAGAGATTCTTTCATTAATGAAATATTATTTTACTGTTTTAGCATTTTCACGTTTCAATTCTTCGACAAGTTTTGTTGATGAATAAAGTTTATTTTCATAGGTTTCAAGTTGTGCATTAAGTTCATTTCGAACTAAATTTAATAGATAAACAAAATGATTTAGAAGATAATTCAAACAAGAATCTTCTATTAAATTATAATAGATTTATTTTAAAGGGTTGATCATACAAATAAAAAGTCTTTCGTTTCAGGATGTCGACGTCGTTTTCTGCCTACCTAACAAAGTCCTAAGCAATCTTGTCACCAAGAAAAACAGTTAAATAAAGAATGATGCTGGATATTACTAGAAAAATTGTTCCTATCCAGATATTGAAAGAACGCATTACTTGGCATGTATAGTTTTTCAATGCTATAGTTCGTATAGTCACAATGACAATATAATCGATACGATCGTAGTCTACGTACAAAAGAGAAAGAAATGATTGACTTCCAGTGCTGTAGCGAATATTTTAGGATTGTGGGAAGGAACCGCGCAAGAGGGAAAGAGAAGAATCCGGATTTTCAAGGATACCAAGGATTCTTTGGAATTTCGAAAACACGTCTCGGGGATTTCATTAAACCTTTTTAGATTCTAGGATTCCAGATTCCTCTCTTTGTTCCTAGGGATCACCGTCACTCCAGTTCACTACAGCCCTGCCTCGGTAGTTAATGCTCCACTATAATTCAGGCCAGAATATTCAACTGTTTTCTTCTTATTAATGAACAATTTATTGAAATTACGCATTGCATTCTATTACTACTGTTTACTTAGAGTAGCTAATATTCAATGTATCATATTTTGCAAATTACATACGTGCAATTTGTTCTTCTGCATATTCATGTTTTTGTTTATATAGTTCTTGACATTCATTTCTCAATTGTTCAAGTTTTTCTTCTAATTGTTTTATTGTTTGTTTAAACGATTCAATTTCAGTATCAGCTTCACGTCGATCATAAAATGACATTTTAAGTATATGTAATTCTTCTTCTAAAGCTCGTTTCTCTGCAACAATTAATGGTGTTTCAGTAGTTGTCATTGGTTCTAATTGAAACAAAGAAAAGAAAATTTTCATTCATTTCTATTTTATTAAAAACAAAATATTTACCATCAAGTTGTTTTTGTAATTCTTCTTTATCATCTTGTAAATGACGAATTTGTCTTAACAATTCTGTTTCACGTTGTTCTTTAATTATTTTCATTTGTTGATTTTCTATTTCTAACATTTTTACACGTTCATTTACAGATGATAAAAGTAGAATATCAGCATTTTGATTAACAATTTTTTTACTATATTCATCACATTGTTGTTTAGATTCACGCAACTAAAATAATATATTATTATTTATTCACAAAATCATCAATAAAATCTACTTTTCGTTCAAGTGTAGCAACTTTTTCATGCATTTCATCATTTTTCTTTTGATATTGTTGTAAACGTTGTTGCAAATCTGTAACATTTTCTTTTACACCTTGAAGACTATTGTATGTATATATAAAATAATTAATTAATTAAAAGAAAAACCAATATTCTTTTTACCGTTTATTATCAATTTCATATCGATGAACATCTTCACGAAGTTTATTACGTTCATCTTTAATTGTATCATAATCAGTTTGTCGAAGAATTTTTTCGGAATATTCACGATTTTTATCCTCTAAAATAATTTAAAAATGAATAAAAAATATTCTATTAAATAGAATATTTACTTAATTCATGGTAACTTTTTTCAAGACCACCGTATTTATGTTGAAGATCATCTAATTCATATTGCACTTTAAATAAATCTTCTTGAAGAACACGTGCTTGTTGATTTGCTGCAAGTACAGCAGCATGAGATTGCTGAAAAGACTAACAAAAATGAATTTTAAGGAAATTATAAATATATATATATATATATATTACTCCTGGTGAACGAGTAAAACTTCGATCGAGAATTGATGAACGATTGTTATTATTTAATGAATCATTTAAATCTATATTTAAGAAAAACAAAAGAAATAATTTATATAAGGGTATTTATTAACTGGTCAGGAGAAAACATTTTTTCTTAGTGTAAAGTGTACCTTGGTAATAGAAAGAGAATGAGCAGTAAATTATTGCATCAATACAGCTGGGTTAACTTTCGTTGGTCGACCACGTTTTTTCTTTTCGCAAATTCGAACTGTCTTTGTTACTGGTATAACCGTATACTCATAACGACAACATGCTTACATATATAGTTTTTAAGGAAACCAGAGCGTGCATGTGAGTAGGATACGGTCTCACGCCCACCCTTTTGAGAGATGTCAAAATTAGAACGAAAGAGATGGCACTTATCATCCATTGATATGATAGAATATAAGTGAATGCTACTATGACACATTTTAATTTCTATACTTTTCTTTTCGTTTAATTTACTGGTAATCAGTTTTATCTACTGACCATTTAAATGGTAGCCTTTATATGACAAATAACGCTCATCTAAAGACTCGCTCAACTCTTTCTCGTAGATCTCGCGTTACTAAACAACTACCAAGCTACTAGTTTATATAATCAAACAGAAATGACACCAGATTCGTATTTCCCGACGACGATTACCGTTATAAAAAAATTCCTTTTATATCTTTACTGAATTTTCAACTGATCATCGAAGTACGGACATACAATTTATGTTTACTAAACTCTCCTCTACGCGAAAGAGAATCATAAAAATATATAAACTTACTACAAATTTGAGTATTTCGACGTTTTCTTATAACTGGTGTTGTTTGTTTTGGTTGTGTACTTGCAGCATCTAAAATTTCATTAACAATACAGTTTATCTGCAATATGAATAGTAAGACCTAACCTTCTTTTAAACAAGCATCAATATTTAATTGATATGGATTATTTTGTGTTGCTTCAATCATATGTAAATCAAAAAGCGCTGCTAATTGTTCATGTTGATTTTCATCCGTTTCAAGTGATTTCGAATAGAAATATGTATCAGCATGAGCAGCAAATACAACAAGTAATGCAGTCTAGAAAAAACAAACAAGAAGATAAATTTAATATTTCAATGAGTAATTTACTTTTGAAAGTAAAATATCATTTCCTCGAATTAATTCATTGATATTCCATTCAGTTATTGATGAAGTTGATTGTTCTATTTCAAATTTAAAATATATATTCGAACGAAAACAGAAATAGTTCACTATATATACTTGATAAATATTCGAGTATAAATTTAAATTTTTCTTGAACACTTTCATTTGATGATAGAATATCAATTCGTGATTCAGCAAATTTTTGTGCTTCACTAAATACATAAAATATATTTAAATAATTAAGAAAAGAAGAAGTATTTTCTTTACATTTGCGTGATAATATTAATAAAATGTTCACCAGTTCGAAGTTCTTCTATTGATTTAATTGGTTCAATTGGTGCAGTGACAAGAGAATTAATCTAAATGAATCTTCTTTTCATATATTTTCACATAGAATAACTATATAACTTACACCAAATAAAATCAGCTTTTCATTCACCATCTTTAAACAAATTAATATTGATGATGAAAAAAGACAAGACAAGAATTATGAAGAAAGACAATATGATTCATTTTCATATTTCCCAGACAAAGACGCATTAAATCCAATTGAATTTTTCAATTAAAAATAACTTTTTTTTGTCGTTATTCTTAATCAGTTACAATCATTCGAAAAAGTCTTAATTTCTTTTGAAATCAATCTTTACTAAAAAAATCTTTATAGATGTCGCTACACTTGATCTTCTTCTGTTAAATATATCCTATTGTATCTCTTTATTAAAAATGAGTTTACGACGTCAACCATCTCGTGCAACTTCGAAACCAATTATTCCATCATCATCTTCTATTTTCATTAATCCAACAATTGATTTATTTCTTCAACAATTTTCTCAATTTATTCGTCGTCATATTACTGAGAATAAAAGTGAAACTGTACTTGTTGCTGGTCCACCATCATGTGGTAAAACGAAATTACTTGAACATATATTTACTAAACTTCATACTGATGATCCAACACTTCATGATCATGTCATTCTTTTTCGTCTTAATGGTTTAATACATTCAATTGAATCATATGCTGTTCAAGAAATTTCATCTCAATATAATATTCATACAAAACTAAATCATGATTATCAATGTGATAATGTTCAAATTCTACTTGAAACAATTGCGAATGAAAAACAAGATAAAAAATTTTATTTTATTTTTATTCTTGATCATTTCGAACATTTTACATATCAAAAATTAAATTCGATTCTTTATACATTATTTGATGCTGTTTATTCAGATAAAAAAAGTTATTCAATATTAACTATTGCTGTATCAAATCGTTCGGATTGTCTTGAATTACCTGAGAAACGTTTAAAATCACGTTTTTCACAAATTTATTATATTTTATCATCACCATCAATTGACGAATATACAAAATATATTCTTCAAACATATAAAATAAAAAAAGATATTCAAATATCAAATGATTTATTTAATTCATTAACAAATATTGAACAGAAAATTTTTGCTTATGTACGAGATACAAATATTAATATTAATGAAGATACACGACCAGATCAATATTTAGATGGTTGTTTAACACATTTAGAAATATTATTACTTTTAATGACCAATCATGTTATTAAACGTATGGATGAAAAATTACAAAATCAAATAACGGGTGCAAATGATAGTGGTGATGATGATGATGATAATGATAATGATGAAAAAACTAGTGGAATTTTAACAGATACTAAATTTACATTTGATCAAGTTTATCATGAATATTCAAAATATGTTATGAAGAATCATAAATATTTTTATGATAAAGCAGTTGTTCGAAAGGTTTGTTTTTTAAAAACTAGTTAAATATAACATAAAAGTTTTCTTTTAGACATTTCTTCGATTAATTGAACGAGGATTTATTCGACGTTATTACGGTCGATATGCTCCTGTAGATGAACCATTAAGTGGTGAACATACAATGATTATGACAATTAATAATGATGAATTAAAACAATATGTTGAATTAAAACCTTTACCTGCAGAAATTAAACGTTATGCAAAATCGAATACAAATATTTGAACTTACCTTTTTTTCTTTTGTATATATCAAGAGATATTATTTGAATAAATCAATCTGCTCAATGAATAGCTTAATAGATAAAATATAAATATATTCAATATGAACTATAGAGATTATTAGGATATTTTATAGAGTTTATTTTAGTAAGCATAACTCCAAATCAGAGTTGGAACCGATCCGGCAATCCGGTTTCGGTCCGGCCGGACCGGACAAGACCGAACAAAAAATCTAACCGGTCCGAACAAAACCGACTTTTTACCGGTTCATGAAATTAGAAAACTATATTTGTATTTCAATTTTTTTTCTTACAAAATTAATCTTTATTTATTTTTTTTGAAATATCATGTTAGGGATTGTCATACGTACATGTTTTAGTTGAAAAAGAGCATGTGACAAAAATATTCGTATAAATTCATAATTTTGCCGGAGTTTTGCACATTTGACGTCAGAAATAGTCCGGCCGCACCAGACCGGACCGGATGGAAAAAATCCGTCCGGTTTCAACTCTGCTCCAGATTGAGAGTGTGGACCTGCGTATTGTTTTTTATACCCTCTCCCACGTCCTCGCCTACGCTTGTACCCACTCAAACCAACATACGTACCCGCATCCAGACACGCCCTCACTGACATCCTCACCCAAACACGCTCTCACCCACACCTTCACGCACACCCAGACGTGCCCTCACCCACATCTTCACGCAAACACAGACAAACCCTCACCCAAATCTTCACCCACACCCTCACTGCACTCAATGAATTTCATTTCTGGATCTTAAACTTTAGTCATAAGAAAGAAAAAATCGATAAAAAATGCTTTATCGGTGTCAAACTTGAAGTATATATGCGTAATAATGATAAGAAAAAAATACGTCGGCGAGTAATATTGATATAAGACAAAATCATGTTTTTCTTTTTACTTGAATAATATAGCGTTTATCGATGTATATAAGTCAAAGAACTAATAGACACTTCTATTTTTACAGTCTCAAGTTAAATCAAGAAGTAAATATTTTGATTATTTCTAATAGATCTTATAGAGTTTCAAAAGATATATTCTGTGTATATGCATTTGTCATGATTTCGAGTGAAAGCTATATGACATTGATGCAAAACTAGTTTCAATGGGTGGAAGTGGTTCAAAACAAACTCATCTATCTCTAACATCAGTCACATCTAATCGTCGTATCGTTCAAAATTTTCTTCTTGTCTGGTTAGATTCTGATATTGACGAAATAAAAGAAGATTATCGTGATGCTATAACTCATTTACGACGTATTGTCAATGCTATAAATCTATTTACTGATATTCATCAATGTATTAATTTTCTAAATGAAATAAAAAATGAAAAAGTATTTCTTATTGTTTCCGATACACTTGGTAAAACTATAGTGCCTTCAATTCATGAAATATCTCAACTTGATTCAATTTATATTTTTTGTAAAACTCAAACAAATCACGATCAATGGACAAAACAATGGTCAAAAATCAAAAGAACTTTTACACAAATTCTATTACTCTGCGAATCATTAAAACAAGCAGCACAAAATTGTGATAAAAATTCTATTTCAATGAGTTTTGTTTCAACACATGATGATGTATTAAAACAAGATATTAATCAACTTGATCCATCATTTATGTATACACAAATATTAAAAGAAATTATATTCGAAATAACATATAATCAACGTTTTCGAAAAGATTTAGCATCTTATTGTCGAGAATTATATGTTGATAATAATCATGAATTAAAAAATATTAATAAATTTGAACGTGAATATCATTATCATACGCCTATATGGTGGTATACATATGATTGTTGTATTTATTCAATGCTTAATCGAGCATTACGTAATCAAGAAGTTGATACAATTATAAAAATGGGCTTTTTTATACAAGATCTACACCGATATATTGAAAGATTACATAAAAAACAATATTTAAATCATCGCCATCGAAAATCAAAATCATTTATTGTTTATCGTGGTCAAACTTTATCAAAATTTGATTTTGATAAATTAATAAAAACTAGAGGTGGTTTATTATCATTCAATAATTTCTTATCAACAACAAAAGAACGTAAAATTTCATTAAATTTTACTCGTCATGCTATTAAAAGTAATTCGAAATCAATTGGAATTCTATTTAAAATGATTATTAATCCATCAATTTTATCAGCACCATTTGCTTCACTTAATAAATATAGTTATTATAAAGATTCGGAACAAGAAATACTTTTTTCTATGCATACTATTTTTCGTATTAATGATATCAAACAAGTTGATGATGATGATGATGGCGAATATAATGATATTTGGCAAGTTGAATTAATATTAACAAATGATAATGATAAACAATTGAGTATTCTTACGGAAAAAATACGACAAGAAACACAAGAAAAAATCGGATGGCCACGTTTAGGAAATTTATTAATTGGATTGGGTAATTATAATGCAGCTGAAGAAGTATATGATATATTATTAAAATCACCCGGAAATGATATTGAAAAAGCATATCTTTATCATCAAATAGGTGTTATTAAAGATAATCAATATCATTATACAGAAGCGATATCATTCTATAAAAAATCACTTGATATTTATAAAGAAAATTTTCAAGCAAATCATCCATTATTAGCTACATGTTATAAAAGTATTGCATTAGTATGTAATAATATGAAAGATTATTCGAATGCACTGTTTTTTCAATATAAAGCACTTGAAATAGAAGAATATATCCTTCCACCAACTCATCATTCATTGGCAACATCTTATAATAACGTTGGTGTTATTTTACATCACACAGAAGAATATAAACTATCACTTTTATATTATCAAAAAACGCTTGAAATTTGCAAGAAAATTTTTCCTAAAAATCATCCTATGTTTGCTAAGTGTTATAATAATATTGGTTTAGTATATCAATCTATGAATGATTATTCTCAAGCATTATTATATTATGAATATGCTGTTGAAATTGGACAACAATCATTACATACAAATCATCCTCATCTTCAATTGTACAAAGACAATCTTGAATTTTTAAAAAAGAAATTAAATGAAGAATAAAAATAATGTGTATAACACAACTTTGGAAGATATATGTATATAGAAAGAAATGAAATATTTGAGATAAATACATTACTAGAGGTATCGAATATGTCAAGTAATCCGGAAAAGAAAAATCCGGAAACTTAAAATCGGGAATATAAGAAATCAGAAAGATAAACAATCTGGAAAATATAAATCCAGGAAAAAATATATCCGGAGAAAAAGTAAATCCGGGAAATAAATAAATCACCTCGAAAGGTTTTGTGATGTGGATGTGAGTGTGAGTGTGGGTAAGGATGTTGATGTGGAAGAAGAGTAGTCTATACCTATACATCCACCCTCACCCACCCACTCACACCCATCCATATCCATACTCGCACCCTTAACCGCATCACATCCACACTTTAAATACTCGCTGCTACAACGACGACATCGATCGTGTCAAGCTTCTTGAAGAATTCTCGCTTTTGATGGCTTTAAAGAAATAAAATCATCAGATTGTCTCTAATATTTCTACTTTTTATTTGTTATGTCTTCTATCATTAATAAACTTTAAGTAAAGTTTTTCCGGATTACTTGACATCACCGAGATATCTAGTTGATCAAAATATCTTGCTGCGGTTGCCTCTCCCGAGATTTACGATTTTTGCACTTGCCTCCCCACAGAGATCGTTTGTAAACTTTATGAGAATTAGTTAAACAAGTGTATAATTTCATTTATCTTTCAACAATCAATAACTACATTCTTTACAATATAATCATACATAACAAATAAAAATAATTTAGCATATCTTTTCCATTGAACAAGGTTCTTCATTTTCCCATTCTTCATCAAGCATTATTAACCAAGGAGTAACATTTAGTGGTAATTTTCTTTCTATTCCTTGGAATGTCTTACAATCAGAATCATGACATTTTTGTCGATATGTTCCTTTACGCATATCAACTACAAAACTAAATGAAAGGAAAAACGCTGTCAGATAATATTACAAAAAAATGTAACACTTACTAGATATTATTTTGTTTATGATGACGTTTAATTCTTTCACAATATTTATAATCTCCAGTATATAAAAAACTAATTTCCCATCGAAAATCATTTTGAACTTCTTTTGTTTTATATAATCGACTCATACAAGTCTCAATTCCATTAGGTTTTTTATCACGTGCTATATTTGTCATAAATTGAACTAATTCAGGATAATCTAATGATAATTTTTGTATATCATCTGTGATATAAGTAGATTGACTTGAACGTTGTTGACTACGTGGTATTGAAGATTTAACTGAGCTAAAACTTTCATCATCAACATGAATAAAACGTCGAATAGGTCTAGATAAATATTGGTAAAAATAATATAAACAATAGAATATAATTACTTATTAAAATAAACAAGTGCAGCCATAAATGTTTGACGTTCAGCTTCAGTTGGTTCTTTTGAACATGAATGTGGATGTGAACGTCGAAAAATTGGTTGCCATTGATTCTCTGGTGCAACAATAAAACATTCTTGTTTATCAAATTTACTCGATCGAAGTAATCGAAATGCTCGATTCTTTGTATATACACCTAGAATATATATATTTTTCTTTATGAAATTAATCGAAAATATCAAAACAAAGAATAGCCTGACTTTCGGAGCACAGTTCAAAAGCCTGATATTTTCAATACAACTACAAGGGGTACACAACAGAGACTTCAGGCATGAAGTCTAATGCAGTCCATCGAAGTCTTCCGAAATCTTTGAAGTCTTTCGAAAAACTGAAGTCTCGCTTGTTGAAGTCTTGAAGTCCGCTATTTCCCCCTTGTACAATTGTTAATACCTGCATCTCTAGATAGAAGACCGCTCTCACTCAGAGTTCTTCCACTTAACCACGGAAGCTGTATTTCAAACATGCAGTCAGTGTACTATCGAACGAGTGATCAAATCCCAAATCTGTTAACTTTATTTACTCACCCATATCACAAAACCATGTAACTCCACTTCCATCATTTTTATTAACAATAAATTCAATAATATCTTTAAATTTAAGTTGTGAATAATCATCAATACAATTACAATGTTCAAAACGTAATATATGTGATTCAAGAGTTGAAAGAAGATTTCGAGCAAAAACTGTTGAATCAAAATATGATTGACTATGTTGAGATTGTTGTGTTTGAGAATTTATAACAGCTGAACATTGATGATTTATTAAACAACCATGAATATCTTCTAAGATAAGATTAACAAATTTACCAACTGCTATATTATCAAGAAATGGATCTTTTGTTTGAAAAATTAAATGACGACTAAATTTTTTTCTTGATCTTAAATAAAATATAATTAAGATTAGATTTTTACATAGGATATTTTACATACGTTGAATCAAGAACAAGTACATCTTTAATCGAATAATCCAAGTCATCACTTCGTTTTCGCATAAAATTGAGAACAAACTAGAGTAAAACATATATTACTATATACCAAAAATATCCAAATACAGGACTTTTACTTCGAAGAGGCTGAGCTTTCCCTCTCCGTCTTAGCTAACCCATATGTGACTATTGTCTCTTCAAAAATTCACAGTATTTACTCGAACCCAAAAGACTTTGTACTGAAATAAACCATTTTTATCTGATAGTATTTGTAAATATCATGATTTAATTAAGGAAGTAAATATCGTCAGTATATTATTTAGATAAGACAGATGTCAATTTTATACCTGAATAAAATTCGAAGTTAATCTAGGACCATCAATAGTTGGATTAGCAGCAGTATCATATTCAAGATCAAAATAAAGTTTCGATGGTTTTTCTATAATACCAATATTTATAATCAATTTATCTCTATTTATATTCTACTTACTATCAATAATAATTTCATATGTATGACGTTGATTAGGTGGTAATTGACTAAATTATTTTTTATTTTATATTTTTTCAATGAATCAAAAACAAAATTGAATATATTAATCTTACTAATATTCATCAATAAAGACATCAATATCAGCAACTTGATAACGACGTTTTCCTTCTGGTTGTGATTCAAAACTGAATAAATAAAGTATATCATCCTAATTTAAAGAATGAATTCATCAAATCTATTTTTTTTGTTATTCTCTTAATTATCATTTACTGCATTATTATTTTTTTGTTTTTCTGTAATAAATTCCAAAGCTTCAGCTTGTGTCCAAAATGTTTTTGTTACTTGTGCCATTCTCAACAGCGAAGGTTTATAATTATATTCCTGTTTTTTTCTTGGCATACTATCACCAAGAGGCTGTCGTTTTCTATTTCGGAAAACAAAACAAAAAACAATATTATGATTTTATTTTCATTTATTTTCTTGCTTGTTTTCATTGTAAAATGTATTTGATGCCATAAGCAAAATCTGCAAGAATAAAATTATCTATTCATTGTGCTCGACATTCATTTATATATATATATATATATGTACATATGCCATACAGTTTGAAAAAAAAAGGAAAATTCATTACACACACACACACAACAATATACAAGCAAAACGTCAAAGAACAAGCTATTACACAAAAAAGATCTTTTTTTTATATGAGAGAACAAACAAATAAAAAAAAACATCTATCTATATGATACAGAGCACTGTTAGAGTAATATAGAGGGTGATTATAGAAAGAAAGAAAGAAAGAACAAGAAAAGAAAAACGTTAATAAAGGAAAATAAATTATTGTTTTTTTATTTATTGATAAACTAAATAATTTCGAAGAGAATTAGGCAATGGTAAATGATTGATTAAATGTAAATTAGTTCGTCCTAATTGTTTCCGTATTACTCGACGACATGTATCCATTAATTGAAGTGGTTCGGCTAAAAAAATGAATAATAAAATTTTTAGTGATAACTTCAAAAAAGTTCAGTGTAAAAACTTAGAAGATTTTTAACCCTCAGGCGCTTTTTGGGGGTCCACTCGGATCCACAACGCTGATTTTTGTTTTCGGATCGGTATTCTTCTAACAATGCACGAAGATCATATGAAATTTCTCCGATGCCTCGTACAGGAGACAAATTAAGAGGTGGGTCCACACGGACCCCGTGACATCTTTAGTGTTATATATGTGATTTTGTTTCTTGTTCAATCTGCCCTCTTCTGCCTCGAAGGTGTATCTCCTCACATAGAATTGATTTTATAATTATTTTGTATCACGACAATTATCTTCAATTTGTTTTCGTGGAAATAAACTATACCTGAAACTTCTAACACTCTTCGAGTATAAAAAGTTCAATAGTTTTAGTTCTTTTACAGATAAAAAGAAGAGAGTGGGTGTGATTAGCTTTTCTATACCCCACACCCATCCCCAAGATTATTCTAGCGTAATTGTATGTGGGTCCAGTTGGACCCACATGACGTCTTACGTGCAAAAAAATGAGGACAGCGTCCGAAGGTTAATATAAAAACATGAATTTAACTTACGTTCTAAACCATTTATATAACGCATAGTTATTTCACAATGACCCCATACTGATGAAACCATTGGATAAAGTGTACCTTTATCTTTTAGATCACTGAATGCTACACCTAAATATTGTCCATCAACAATATAAGATAATGTTCCTTCTTCCATATCAAGAATAACAAAAAATTTATCTGGTACAATAAAACAATCATCAGATTTTGTTGAATATGCAATACCATTATTATTAATTGCATCAGCTGGATCAGTCATTGCAGATGACATTGTTGTTGGAGATAATAAACCAGATGAATTTGATATTGTCGAAGGATATTGTGTACATGCATATACACTATTAATGCCTTTATGATAAAGTTTATTTCGACCTAAATCCCATCCCCATGATTCTTGATTCATGCCTACTAGCGCTTGATAACCAGGACAATGAAGTGGAGCTTTTAAAGTACCAACACCAACGACGGCATGTGTACCACGTTGTCTAGTATTCCTAAAAAAATATAATTTGATTTTTAATTATCTATATAAAATATAACATACCATTCGATTTCCCATACATGAATGCCACTTGTAAATCCTTTTTTACATCGAACGGCATCAGTACTTTGTGCTACAGGCTAATAGATAAAAAAAATCTTGATGATAAATAAGATAGAAATATTTCGTTATCTTACATGTCTATGAAATGTACAAGGATCATTATGTTTAACAAAAATATTCATCGAACGATCTTCATGATTCCATGCATATTCAATTTGTTTTTCACGTAATGCAGGTGGTCGATCAAGAAGTATATCAAGTTTAACAGGAAAATAATTACTTGGATCTAATGATGGATGATTTGTAATATTTAAATAATAAAATAATGAATTTAAATCATTATTATTATTGTTATTGTTATTATTGTTATTATTATTATTATTATGATTTGTATTATTTGATGATGATGATGAATATGTTAATGTTGTTTGATGATGTATGGGTAATGGATTAAATGAAAGTAAAGGTAATGATGATGTTGTTAGATCTTGATTTTGTGTTGATGTTGTATCAGATATAAATGAACGTAAATTTATTATTTTACCATTTCGAAGACCCATTGATGATAATAAATGTTCTTGTTTTTGTGAATGTAAACGAGGATTTGTTGTTAATGAAATAGGATTATTTGTACGTTGTAAACGTGAACGTAATGGATATGTTTTTATATTTGAAGAAGAAGAAAGAGAAGTAGTTAGTTGTTTACTTTTATTATTTAAACGACGACTTCGTCGTAATGTTATTGTATTAATTGATGGATCGTTTAAATCTACACGCTATAGAAAACAAAAAAAGACATTAGGAAATTTTCTTTTTTTCAGATTTAAATTAATATACTTTAGTTAATTTCTTTCGTTTTATTTGTATTGGTTTTGTAGTTAATAAATGTTGTTTTGGTTTCTTTTTAGTTTTACTGTTCGTTAAGATTGTTTGACGTTTTTTCGTATTTAATTCATATTGATTTGTTATTGTTTTACTCTGATGAGGTAACACCATTGGAATAAGAATTTATGAGATGAAAGAATTGAATCTTTTGATTGAATAATAAAGTAAATTTGCAGAAACAAACATAAAACATCGAGAGAAAACAACAATTGAAAGAAGATGAATTAATGGAAGAAGAAGAAGAAATAAATAAGAATCTGAAAGGAAAATTTATTTGTGACATGATCAGTAAGTTAAAAATAAATAAACAATATATTATATCCGAGCAAGAAGACATGTGTATGCAATCGATAGATGATTGAGATTAGAAATATTCGAAAGAAAAATAATAGACAAAAAAATCTAGGAAAATTAGTAATTAATGAAAAAAATATTTCAAAATTCTCATGAAAAATTAATGTTTACGAGTATTTAATAGAGAATTTTTTCATCATAGATGTCGTTGGATTATGGAAAAATGAATGGCAACATACTTTAAGAAGTATAGTTTGACCTGAAATAATAATGGAGTATTATTGACGTTTATTCTAATATTAGACGTGTCAAGTGATAATCTGTTGATATATTTAAAAACACATTTCCGAAATGTTTTTGATGATATGTAACAACAAAAAAATATTTTCATAAGATTATTATACTATAAGAATAAGAATATATAAATGACTGAATTAAAAACTGAGATTAATTTTTTTTATTGATTTATTACTACAAGAAAGTATTGCTATAGTATATATGAATCGAGCTTAAAATGTATTGTCTATAAACTGCGCATTTTGTTAACCAACTTAAAACAATGAATTTTTTTTTTGAACAATAAATTCACTGTATACATCCTACTAATATCTTTTAAAACAATAAAAAAGGAATTTTTTTGAATATGTAAACTATACTGATAGTAAATAATTAGTATATTTAAATCTAACTTATGTCAAAACCTAACTATGGCCTTGATAATAGATACCTGTACAGTTCGTAGGTAAATTCAATAGGATAAAACATTAACGTATTTAATTCAAAAATAAATATGTACATTAATATTCATTACCATGGTCATGTTGAAAAGTTTCAAGAACATTGAAATTAAAGACATTTATGAAGCGCTTAGATCAACTTTTTTTTTTTGCTCGTTATAAACTGAAACTCAATTAAATATGAATGTTACATCATTTTGTGTTTTCTATTCTATTGAACACCGCGATACATGAAAAATGTAAAAAATCAACCATTCATGAATATTCTGACTTTTATGGTATAGTTTATTTATCAGATCACAACATACTTTGTCACCTTTACACTCTTTTATTTCGAAATAGTGATGACTAATGAATATAAATTTTTTCTTTCTCATTTATTTCTTAACATTCAAGCTGATACCATCTTTTTGTCGAGGGTAACTACATGTTATAAGTTCACATTTTGTTTCATTGATGAGATGTGTAATAGAACGAACGAACGAAAAAAGAAAAAAAAACTAAAATTACATTTTTCTTCTCTTTCTTCATCTTCCTTGTATTCGTTCTTTGACTTGTATGAGTAATCATGAAAGAGTATATGCAAATAACTATACATTCGAACAGTATACCCTTAAAAATAATGGTGATAGACGAATCAATACAACAGATACTTACAAAATATTCACGTTTTAAAATTCGTGATTATCAAAATCATACAAGAAATTCGATTGAAGAATTAGAACATCTCATTTCATTAATAGAAACAAGAAAATCAACTTTTTCTTATTCATTACAAACTTTAAGTGATATTATTCAAATAATTATTTCTTCCATTGATCGAACAACATTATGGAAGGCAAAAGGCAAAATGTATGAACAACAACTTGCTCAAATAGTATGTCAATTATTCAAATGTTTGTGTAAATTAGATGCGAAATATGCAGTAAATGAGCAAGGCGTAACAATTATGCGTTCAATTCTTCAATGGTTGAAAGATGATACTGATTTTTGTTTAACAAAATCTATCAGGTAAACGCATAGAGATATAATTATTTTATTAGAAGCAATTGTTTTCTTTTCTTCTTCGTTTAGTCAAGATTTACATTTAGCAATATATTCATGTCTTGAACAATATTCTCTTAGTTGTAAAAATCGAGAAGATTTTCTTAATGAATTATTTTCTACTTCATCTGTACATAAATCACATTCATCATCTGTTGTATCTTGTTTCAATTTTCATAACCGTAGAAAATCAGCAATACATGAATCTTTATCAATAATTGATTATAGTGCTCGACTTGTTATCTATCTTCTCGAATCTTCATTAGTTACCTCATCATTATTAATTAATCAAATTTTAACATTTTTTTTATTATATGCTCCAATTCAACGTTTTTCCGTTTATCTTGTTAATCATACTGATTTTTATCGTTCGATTATTGTACCATTATTATCAACAAAAAATACAGATTATTTTGTACAATGTATTATTGATGAAACAGCACGTTCACAAACAGATTCAAATGATCGAGTATTTGTTTTTACACATATGCTTAATTTAGTTGGTGAATTCGTTTTACATCCTGGAATCGAAATTCATAGTTGTTCATTTGCATCTACATTTAAATATCTATTCGATGCTCTTATCGAATGTGGAACAACAGTTCCTCTATTATATCTTGTTAAATGTTTAAGTAATTTATTAACAAATGAAAATGTCGAAACTGATCTTCTTGCACAAGAAATGAATCGATTTAGTTTAATTCACTCTATAATTAATTATACATCCATTCTTATACAAAATTCTACTCTTGGTGAAGGTCAAATGATTTTAAAACAATTACATAATAATGTTATAACATCATGTCTATCAATCCTTTATAACATATCAACATTAAATCACGAGATACTTGATATAAATGTTATAATAAATAAAATATGTCGACCACTTTTTAAATCTGATATGCAACAAATACGTCTTATCTCTTGTTTACTTTATTCAAATTTACTTACACAAAAAGAACTTGAATCTGATAATGCATGTCATCATTTATGTGAACAATTATTTTTTTCAATACGTCAAGCATATTTAAGTTCGAATTATCATTTATGTAATCAAATCTCATTATTTAGTTTAGTTAATTGTTTAAAAAAATTATGTACACATAAACAATTTCAAAAACGTATTGGTAAACAAGATGAAAATATTGAATTATTATTTGAAATACTTCGTCAATTTCATTTATCAATTGAACAACAAGAAGAAATACAAATTATACTTCAATCTATATGGTTTTTATCATTTGAATATACATGTGCAACAAAAATTCATAGTCATGATAAATATTTTGCTTTATTAGTACAATTAGCAGAAACAAATCCAAATGAAATGATACAACAAGCAGCTAAAGGTATACTTTGGCAATTAAGACAAACAATGACGAATACAATTAATGAACCAATTGTATCAAATTCATCTCAACATATTATGTTTAGTTATAATCATGATACAAAAGAAATTGTTCAAAAAATTTGTCAAAATCTTCGAAATTCTGGTTATCGAACTTGGATGGATATTGATGATATGCATGGAAGTACATTAGATTGTATGGCACATGCAGTTGAACAATCATGTGTTATCATAATATGTATGACGGAAAAATATAAACAATCACCTAATTGTCAAAGTGAAGCTGAATATGCTTATCGATTAAAGAAACCTTTTGTACCAATATTATTACAATCGAAATTTAAACCAGATGGATGGTTAGGTTTACTTCTTGGAACTAAATTATATATTGATTTTACTAAAAGTGATTTTGATTCGAATTATAAAAGACTAGTCAACGAAATAGAAACAATAAAAAATTAAAACGAATATTCCTGTTTATTGTATATTGTATATTTTTTATTGTTTGGAATAAAGTTCGAGAAATGAAAATGTTTTATATTCGAGAAAGATACGTGTTAGTAATCGAAAAACAGAACTTTTTATTATTATTATGAAGTGATATTAAAAGACGGAAGGATTATTCACTGCATAAACTTAACAAGGAAAGGTAAATGTGATGTATTTATCGTGTGTGTGAAACGTTATCAGATTTTGATAAACGTGAACATTATGATTTAGAACAAAGGGTGGATATACTTCATAATTTTAAAGATAGTAATGCAGAAGCTGATTATCGAATAAGAAGTTCAGGTAATAATACAACTAAAGATGAAGCATATAAAAAGCACGCATATTTGCAAATGAACTTAATTGGTTTCTTAAGAGTGGTTTAACAAAACATCAAACCTTATTACATCGTGCTAGTAAAAAAGGCTATGAGAATCTCGTATATTAGATTTTGAAGAAGAAAGTAGTAAACTAGGAAATCATAATCATGTATACATGATTGAAACGACAAGAAAAGATGTAAATTAGTAATTTTATTATTATTTCGATGAGAAATCAAAAGATGTGATTGATTTTATTGGTACAAATTTATTTTAATATGCATGTCATTTTGGACAATATGCTGTGGCAAAACGGTTGTTAGAGCATGAAGCTAATATCATGGTAATATTGCACTTGTTGAACCTTTGCTCGAATATAATGCTGATATAAATATTAATAATGATTTTGGAGCGAGTATTATTGATGAAGATATATATGAAGAAGTAGACAAAAATTCAGCAAGTTATAAGCATAATTTAAAAAATACAAAATTTGATTAAGATTCATATATATATGAAGACGACGGTAAATGTCAAAGTAGTTGCAATGAACGTAATAGGGACTCCATTAACCCTTTTCGTACCATGGCTCAGACAATGGATGAAACTTTGTTGGGACTTTATATTTAACATGTATATTGTATGTTGTGAATATTTTCACTGAAATTTTTTAAAGAACCTTCGAAGTCATTTTCGATTAATACCTGTACCCCCCTACGGCACGCTGGTACTTAAAAGGTTATTAAAATGATAAATACCGCGCGAATACAAGCATCTACTTGTCCTTTATGCCACAATGGCAAGTGTACTTCGATATTGTTTTTCATTCGTAATTTATTCAGAATTTGTCAAATTCTAAAAAAGCGGGGCTTATGGGCCCCGTTGTTACATAAAGGGTTAAATATGCCACCAAACATTATTGTCTATTCTGTAGTCTATATTACCTTCGTAATACTAGTAAAGTATTTCTGTGTCACATATTATTTTTTCGCACGTCAAGGTAAGTAAGTATGTTGCTATTATATAACATAGGTATTATACTAACAACAGCTATTTTCATGGAACTATTATCCTGGTTTTTACATAAATATATTTTTCATGGAGTTCTCTGGTTTATTCATAAGACACATCATAATCGAACTCTTCATTCAACTTTCGAACTTAATGATATATTTAGTTTAATATTTTCATTGATTTCTATTATATTACTTTATATCGGTTGGTCTACACCTTCATCAATACATCTTGCTATAGGTTTTGGTGTCACATTCTATGGTTTTCTCTATTTTATAATACATGATGGACTTATTCATCAACGATATTTAAGTTGGAATAAGACAACAAGTATTTATTTAAAACAAATTCAACGAGCTCATCAACGTCATCATACTTATCCAAATAAAACACCTAGTGAAGAATTTGGTCTTTTCTTAATTATTGGTCGTAAATATTGGCGTAATATGTTTAGATAATTAAAATTAATTTTCCTAATATTCGTAACATTAATAACATCTATCTTTTATTTTTTTTCAAATAAACAACAAAAAAAAAGAAAAAAACAAAACGTTGAACGTTCTCACGGACAAAATAACAAAATACATACAACATAATAATGAACTGTTATGTTTAAAGAAGTTTATTCCCACTCAGTTGTTGCTAAAAGAAACGAAAAGAAAATAATAAATAAAATCTTTATATTTAGTTTTTGTTTTACCTGGTGGTTTCGAAGTTAAATCATATAAAACTCGACTTATACCAGGTACATTTGTTTTAATTGTCTGACACATTTCATCAAGCATTTCAAGAGGAAATGTTTCACCAGGTACAGCCGGTCTTCCCGTCATAAAATCTTTCGTAAGAAATGTACGTAACACAACGGAATGTTGAAAACTACTAGCTATTGATCGTAAACGTGTAAGTGGAATAATTCTTTCATCAATTGGTTCGTTACTATTATTATTAATTTCTTCATGATGATTTAAATAAATTTGTCTATCAAATTGTATTGGAATTAATACAACTGGCATTTGACTTATTGCACTATATGCTTTATGATTTTTCATTATCATCATAGCATGATAATCACATGCACGAGCTTTATCAACAATATCTTGTGTTAATGATGTTCGTGTTACTTGAGTAATTTCTGCATCAAGAATTTTTTTACCCTTAAAAACAAAAATTCAATATATATATAAAAATAATAAAACTAAAAATTATATTTACAAGAATATAAACAACTCGATTAATATGATGACATGCTTTTGTTATCAATCGAGCAAGAATAAATAATTCATTCCAATTTGGTTTTTCATCATTTGAACTAATAGCTGCAGCAAAACTATACGTACGAGCATCACCTTGAACTCCAACACTACGAATCTATACACATAGAAATATAATGTTATCTTTTTCATTTATCTAATAATGAAATTTCAAGACCTAGAAAAATTTGTCCTCATCAACTAATGATCATTGTCATTAATATCAATTAGGATCAAAATAAATTAACTCAATTCTTTCAAATAAACTTACGGGTAATACGACAGATGTATAATCATGTTGATCAGGTGATGTTAATGTTTTTAGAAGAATTTTTTCATTTTCTGTAAAAATTTTATCTAATGTTGGTAAAAGTGCATATTGTTTTTCGACCATTGTTGAATACGTAACAATTGTTCGTAATAAAGTTGATGTTTGAGAGAATTGTTCATTTGGCATGTATGGTTCATCAGCACATAAAATACGTATAGCTAAACCAGGCCCAGGAAATGGATGTCGAAAAACAACATCATGATGAAGACCTAACGTTAAACCAATTTGTCTAACTTCATCTTTATGAAAATCTTTTAATGGTTCAATAACACGATTACGTTTACGTAATTCACGTACCATAGGTGAATCATTATGATGTGTTTTAATTGCATCAGCATGACCACTTTGACATGCTAAATGTGATGCACTTTCAATTAAATCAGGTCTTAATGTACCTTGTGCTAAAATAATATCATCAAATGTAAAATTATTTTCACGTAAAAATTCTTGAACAACTTTAACAAATGTATCACCAATTATTTTACGTTTATGTTCAGGATCAATTTCTTCATTTAATGGTAAAGTTTCTTCAAGTAAAACATCAGCATCATATAAACTTAAAAAATTCGATGACATTGATGCACGTCGTTGTACATTTGCTAGTGATTCATTTGTTAATGTTGGTGATGTTTTTGTACGTACAAATGTTTTAGCTTGAGAAAAACGTTGTGTTGCATCAACATAATTAACAGCTGCAAATTGTGATAATGTTTGACGAATTTCTACACCTTCATTTTCACGTAAAAATCCGTTATCAATACTAATAATTTTAACTTGTTCAGCAGGTAATGCACGTGTTAATAGAGCAGCACATACTGAACTATCAACACCACCACTGCATAGAACAAAAACATTTTGTTCTTTGACAAATGATCGAATACTAGTGAATGCTTCTTCAATTCGACTTCCCATGGTAAATGTTGCACGACAATGAGCAATATCAAAAAGAAAATTTTTAAATATTTGCATACCATTATCGGTTAGATCGACCTAAAACAAAAATATATCAATAATCAATTTTTGATCTTAATTATACACATAATACTGCCACTGTTAACGGAAGTCTATTATACTCAAAACCTCACAAGTGAGACTTGATTGCATCAGACTACATTGAAATATTGTCTAATTTTCCTTCCTAGACAGAATAATTCTATCTAAGTATACATACTAAAGATGTCTTTATAATTTCTAAGAAGTCAATTAAATGAAAACTAACATAACAATTTATATAAATTATATTTCAATGATAATTAATTCAGTTTAAAACATAAGCAAATGTTTCAATGCATTAGTTCGTAGAGCGAAATTTACTTTGCGAAATAATCGAGTAGATTATATATATCGAAATACAAACAATCAGAATAAATGATGGCTACTAGAGGAAAAATTCTGTTCTAGTATGTATATAGTATTAGTTTACCTCTGGATGAAATTGTAGACCATAAATAGGTTTGTCTTTATCTGCACACGCCACAGTAAATGATTCACTTTTACCAACTGCTAATAAATTGTCTCCAAGTTTTTCAATACTATCACCATGTGTTAATAGAACATTTTCTAGTTTATTCATGTTTTTAAAGAGTGGACAATCTGTTATGTTAAGTTCAACTTGAAATTGTCCATCTTCTCTTACAGCTTGTCTTACAATTGTTCCACCACGTTGTTTATTTAACATTTGTAATCCATAACAAATACCTAATATAGGTAAATTACATTCAAATAATTTTGGATCATAATACACTGGAGTTGGATCATTTACTGAGCCAGGACTACCGGATATAATTATAGCTTTGTAATTTCGTGAAATTAATTCATCAACAGATGTTTGTAATGGAACAAGTTCAGAATAAACTGCAAGTTCACGTACTCGACGATCAATAACTTTAGCATATTGTGAACCGGCATCAAGTATTGCTACTTTATCATATTCATCGGAATGTTGTGAAGACTCAATCATTATAAATACAATTATTTGTCTAAAAACATATGAAAAAAAAAGTATATATTATCATTGTTCTTAATTATGCAAAATTATGGGTTCTGTTTTTGTTTCAAATCAAAATTGGTCTGTAATATATAGATAGGGAAATCGAGATTCTTCATAGTTGAATGATATAGTATTGACACATTAAAAAGAAAACAAATAGAACAAGTGTACAGAACGCAAATTTGAAAAAGAAAAAAGAAGATCAAAGAAATTGTGATAGTATAGTAATAATGATGAAAGATGAAAAATAAATTTTGTTTTTCTTGTATTTACTTTCTAAATATACTTTTCATCTTTTATCACAAATGGAATGTAAAAAGAAAAAGAGAAAAAAAAGAAAATTAAACAAACTAATTGTTAATCCAATGACCATTCTTTTCTTTCTTCTTCTGCAATTATTTCCCAATTTGGTGAAACCATTCCAGGTATCATATGATTAAAATCTCGTACATCATTCCAATAATCTTTTGTCCATAATAAACCACTTTCTTTAACATGTTCATCTTTTGAATTATATTTAACATTATAAGGTGCAAATCTTAAATTATTACAATCTTCAATAATTGGATGAGCTGTTATATGAACATAAAAATCACATTCTGTACTTGTATGAATACGTAATTGTTGAGATGCTAAAGCAAATTCACATTGTTGACATTGATCAATCATTACAGAACGTGAACATGGACCAACAATAAGTATACATGCATGAAGATTTTTAATTTGTAATGATGATGGAATACCTTTAAGAAATATTTCACATTGTTTTAAATTTTCAATTGCAACATCTTTTCCATTAAGTTCAGAAGATTCGAAACGTATTAATTCATTATTTTTATTTGAAATATTTATTGTATTTGATGATACAATTATATTGGATGAAGGCGTTACTAAATTTGATATTTCTTGTTCTTGTTTGGAATTTTCATCATTCGATTTTGTAAAATCAACACGATGTGTTGTTGAAAGACTACGATCTTGTAAAGAATTTAATTGAGTACGAAGTTTCATAACATCACCTAAAACGATTTCAAAAAAAACAAATTAATTCGACAAAAAAGATAAATTCGATTTTACTTTGTGCATTAGCAATATCACGTGAACTTAATATATCAACATGTTCCGTAATAAATTTTTCCATTTTCTGTAAACGATCAGCTAATTCTTGAATTGAATTTGCATCATGATTTACGGATAGTTTACTAAATAAATCTTCAACTTCACTTTTCATTTGAGGATATTCTTGTTCGAAAAATTTTCGTCCAACATTCGTTGATGTTGTTAATTTTCGTTCGTCTTGTTTTGTTTGAAGATCTAATTTACGTTCTTCATCACGTCTTGACATTTGTGCTAATTTTCGTTGTTTACGTTCATCAAGAAGATCATCAGATGAATCCATTGTTTTGATTTTTTAATTAATTGAACTAAATAGAAAAAACAGACGATTTATTGATTATACAACTTATGTATGTCGTCCTTGGTACGGGCATCTTCAAATGACAAGGATAGATAATGAATAATACAAAAACAACACAATGACTAACTAGAATGTTTTTTAGAATAGAAAATATATTATATAGACATTTTTAACTTGAAAATAAATACGTCTTCGGTGCATTTTTATGATTGGATAAAAGAAGGCCAATTATTTTCATTCAAGAGTCTTACTTATTCAGAAATTTAATATAAAATCATTTATTAGTAATTAATTACCAATTATTTGAACACTTAATATCAAAGAATTATAATATCTTCTAGAAAGATCAAAGCTTTGATTCAAATATAAAAATAATTTAAAAATTCAAATAATTACCCATTTTATATCAACGCTTTTATGAATGTACTTACTTTTAAATGTAAAAGATTTAATTTTAAAGAAGTTATTAAATTCTTATATAAGTTTTAACACAAAACTGATTGGTAACAAGTATTTTGCACATAGTAGAGACAAAATTATGTACCTTTCGTTTCTTTCTAAGTAATTATATTCCGTGAATAGGATAATAAAGGAAAAATACCCAAATTTCGAATTACAACATATGTTTGCCATTATTCTATAATAAAGTAGAACATCCTGAAAATATTATATCTTTATATTCCATTCAATTGAGGTTCTGAGATCCGTTGCACAGTTTCGAAGGACTCTACAATTTCAAACGTTATTATACTGGAGAAAAGAAACTCGGGATACTACCAAATGCAATTAAACGTTTGTTATCTTGTACTATTTTTTCTTTTTTATATTGTTTAAGAAATGCTTCATACAACTATTACTATTGATCAAATTCAAGAAGCGTTTGATCAATTTAATCGAGTATGTGTTCATTGAAAATATTTTTTCCTAATATAAAAATTTGATTTCTAAGGGACAAAAATATTTATATAACAATTTAATAACTACCATTAAAGACAATCAAACAAATGTAAATAAAACATATGTTTCTTGGTTTTTTTTAAATAATTAAATCTTTTAGGAAATATATTTAGTTGAATTATTTGATGAATTACGTGATAATGTTGATTTGTTCGAAAATATGAATGAACAATTTCTTGATTTTCTTCAAGTTTGAATTTAGCATAATATTTTTTTTTAATACGAAATTTATTTTAGTTTCAAATCAATTGGACAAAACAATCAAAAGTAGTACTTGATGCATTTAGTAGTTTTCAGATAACACTTATATCAAGTAATACAAATCATACAGAACGTTATCTCAATTTTCTATTTACATTATTTGCTATACCTGGTAAATAGTTATTTAATTCATAATGAGAATTTTTCCACTTTTATTTTAAGAAACTTCAATACATGATTTTGCACATGAAACATTACAACAATTAGTTCTTATTGTACCATTGTATGTTTTTGATTTATTAATAGAAGAGTAAAATATAAATATTTAATTTGCTTAGAGCATCGAATCTTCTATGTTCAATTGCTGATCATCAGTTTCCATTTATGACAAAAGATAAAGATATTCAGATAATATATATTAAAAATTTACTGCGATTATTATCTTATTTATCAATTGAAAGATTACGTTTTCTTGAGATAATTCTTTCAAAATTAATTCGTATGGATGTAAGTAAATCGAAAAAGATCGTTTTGTTCGTTCTAATTGTTTATCAATTCTAAAGGTTCATGCATCACGACAAGATATTCTTCATAGTGAAAGATATTATATCGAAAATGAACTTGTCTTCTCACTTGAACAACAACAACATGATACGAATCAAATGAAACATGATCAAGCTGATAAACTCGATTGTCTTATGTATAGTATGTTTGAATATATAACAAATATATCGATGAAAAATGGTAAATATTTAAGACGAAAAAATATATGAAAGATATTCATTGATTTATTTAGGAAAATTTAATTATGAACAAACAAAATTATTATTTAAAGATTTATTAAATATTTTTAATAAACTCATTTTACCAACACATGATTCGTCTCATGTACAATTTCTGATGTTTTATATTTGTAGTTTTCATACAGTAAGTTAAATTGATTGCTCGTTATGTTTTTTTGCTGATAGTAGTATAGTCTAGCGGGTGGAGATGAACGATTCTAAGCGAGGATGTGGGTACGAGGGTATCTCTTCTTCACTCACACACACATCCACACTCTCAAGACTGTGTCCAGAATTCTTCCACTAGAATCATTCGTAGTTCATTTAAAACAATAAAATTAATAAATATTCGTTTTTTTCTGTTTCGTTAATATCCTAGAATTTCAGTGATGAATTTATGAATAATTGCTGGAAAATATTTGTCTCGCCAACAGTTTCTATGACATTTCGACAAGCAGCTATTTGTTATTTATGTAGTTTAATGGCTCGAGCTAATTATATTTCAATTAAGTATAAAATTATTTCTTTTCTCGTTTCTTTTCTATAACTAATTATATAGATCGGTATTAGCTATAACACAATCAATGGTTGATTGGTTACATGTATATATTAATACATTGGAAAGAAATAGTGGAAATTCAAATCCAAATCGTCACTTACCATTTTATGCTATTTGTCAAGCAGTTCTTTATATATTTATTTATCGACATCAAGAAATCGTTCGATTATCTGATGGTAATAAAAAAAGTCTTTATTTTCTATTTGTTTTTTAATCGAAGAAATAAATAGGTATTCAGACAATAATACAATGGCGACTTAGCCGTATTATTTCTTCAGAATTAAATCCATTAAAATTTTGTCTACCTGCTATAACTCTTCGATTTGCTCAATTAGCAAGGTAATACAAATAAAGAATTTTAAAATTAAATCTTTTTCTTTCATTTTCTATATAATAGAAATTATCAAATTGTTTTTTGTTATTCAATTATTGAAACCAATAATCGTTATTCACTACCAGAATTATTTTCAATAGATGATCATCATAATAATACATCACCATTACTACCATCAAATATTCTTCATTCATATTTTCCATTTGATCCTTATGTATTAAAACGTTCATCAATATTTATTCGACCTATTTATATTGATTATCGAGATGAAAATGAAGATTTAAATACTACCAAAGATTTAGATGATAGGAATGTAAGTAAAATCTCATATCCATAAGCAGCGATTATTTTAAAGGCTTCTATTAGTTTAAAATACTCCCAAGTCTAGCAGTAAGATTACAAGTAACGCTCGTTCGAGGGCTCACTTAGCTCTTTCTCGTAGAAATGCATCCTCTTCACATTTACTAGAAAAACAATTGAAAATCGTGAAAAATCAGTTTTCGATGTTTTTTTGACCCTGCGGACAGACAATCAATCAATCAATCAAACAAACAAACAATTTATTCTTGCTAGACTCTTCTCTACGAGAAGGAGAATATGAAAATCGTACGTTAAATTGTAACCTCAGGGTGTACATGAGATAAGAACTGAATACTCACACTGTTGTTTATTTTTAGCCTTAGTATTGAAGTTAATGAATTTTATTATTATTTTAGCAACAAGATATTGATGATAGTGATGATATTTTAACATCGATGATAATGAGTACAACACCGAATGATTTTGATCCAACTGATCGAATCTCATCATTATCAATATCAATCAAGAATTCTCATCATCGTTCATCGAAATTACCATTTGGTCGTTCGCCTGGTTTTCGAACTGTATCATAAAATATATTTTTGTATTCAGTTATTCTGTCTCTCATTTACATAGAGAGGTTTTGTTATTTTTTTTTTAATAAAAGAAAAAATAAAAACAATGAATTAAATATTCACAAATTATAAATCACAGAATCGAATATTAAATCACCAATTAAAGAAGAACAAAAAAATCATTCAAATCATTTCTGATCGTTGTGTATTTATTTAATCAAATGTTGCTGCTGCAGCACGTAATTCAACTGTGATCTATAGATTAAAAAAATATAGAACATACGAATTCAAATAAAATAACTTTACATTTTCATAGAATTGAATTTGTTCGTGTAAAAGTGTTTTTAAATACAAATTTAAATCATTAACTTTGTCTTTTTGAAAAAAATTTATTTCAGCTAATACAACATAGTTAAAAACTTGACCACGATGTATTGCACCACTAAAATCTGGTGTTGCTGTTGGACCACGTTGTTGTACACTTTTAATACATTCGGACGCACTCTAAAATAAACAATATGAATAAAAAAAGGTAAAATTATATTCATTTACTCGTTGAATATTTAATATTAATGGAAAACAAGCTAAAAGACCAATATATTCTTGAATACGTTCGTTAAAATTTCGAACACTTTCACTTCCCTAAGTAAATAAGCATGATGAAGGTGAATAGTAATAATAAAAGAATTATATTCTATATACTTTTGTTTTATATAATTCAGCTATTCCTTGAAATGAAGCACTGATTTTCGATACTGAAACTGAAAGTTCCTGATTCCCTAAAAATCAAATACGCGCAAGATTTGAAGAAAACAAAAATTTCATTTGAATAATAACCGATTGTGCTTGCGTCTGTTTGTAAAGCTATAAAAACTTTAGAGAAAAGTTCTCCAAGACGTTGCATATCAGGTTTATAAATTTCAGAATGTCTTTCAAGATATTTGATTAAACCTTGATTAAGATTTTTTAAATGTGTTTCAAGACCTGGTTGTTGTTGTGCAAATGCATCGATTTGTGTTGCACTAAATAAAATAGATATAAAATATCTCTAAGTATATATAATTACATTTGTGCTTCAGTTAAATTTGACTGTGTATGTGTAACACAATGAAGCCATGCTGCTTCACGTAATTCATCTTTTTCACTTTTTCGTTTACCTGCTTTCCAATCCTAAAATATGAATATGTATTCAATAAGTTTCTCGTATGATTATTGACGTACTTTATTATTTTTTTCAGTGAGTTCACATGTAACAAAATGTTGAACAGGAAATGATGCACAAAGTACAGGATGATGACAAATACGATTAAGCCATAATTCAAGTTGTCGTCGACGTTCTTCAATAAATTCATTTTCAAATCGACCTAATGGATAATTTGAATAAATATGTTTTTTTTCAAATGAAAAGTTTATTTATACCCGCTATTTGTTTTCCAGGTAATGGTGGAACACAAATAAAACGAAATTTATTAACAAGTTGTTCATGTAACCATTCGAATTGTTTATAACGTCGGCTAACAACTCGACCGTTAGAAATCTAAATAAGAATATCGAACGATTTATCAACGAAAAAGATAAAATAAATCTTTTACTTGTGCATGTATTTTATATTCCGTAAATGATTTTAATCCACCTAATTTCGTTCCTTTTGCTGAATCTTCAATTTTACAACTAAATGGTGGAGTTTTACCATTAGGTAACCAATAAACATAACCAGATTTTTCATCAAACTTAAAATGAATAAGCAGAAATTAAATAGAATTATTTAATCATATCACTTACACCAATGTCAACACGTTCATCTACTTTAGCTTTACTTCCATGTAATATGTAATTATCTATACCATGTTTATCAAAAAGTCTAAAGTCAAGATAAATGATTTAACATATATATAGTATATTATGAAGCGATAAACCTTGGTCGTGTAGGAGCTTTCGTGTCAGCACCAGGAGTTGATTGTCTATTTAATGTCTAAAGGAAAATAAAGTTTTTTTATCTTCGACACAAAAAAATAATAATGTGAGGAGTTTTTAGTGAAAGCGAAACTAGGCAAATACGTTTTGTTATATAAGATGAAGAAGTATATGTTGCCAACTAACCATATTAGTTATTATAAAGTGTTATAAGTACTAAACTATCACTTACGTTCTATATGTTTCTATTATCTTTCAATGTATAAACAATAAATAAATTGGTAAAAGAAATTTATTCTTACTGTATTTTGTTCTTTTGATATCGAAGTTTCCAGATCCGAATCAAATTCTTCTTTTGTTGAATGTGATACTGTCTATAAAATAAAAGACATGACTTTTATACGAATATTAATAATGAAATATCAAAAATAAGCAGTAGCAAAAATAAAGTAGTCATAAGGAGTTTGATTAAGCTTAGATATTTAGCAATAAATTATTTCTAACAGCTAACCTCTGACTGACTTTCAACTAATGAATGTCGTGTGTCTACTTCAGGTTTTGTTTTTTGACGTCTTAGCGTAAAAAAATTTGATTTTTCTGATTTGGGTTTGGGCGATGGCGAAACGAGACTATTTTCTGTATTTAGTTTTGAGGGTGTTGGAATTACTGGAGATACTGGAGACATAAGATTGTCTGAAGGTGAAGGTGGAATAAAAGGTGTTGATTGTATTATAGTTGATTGATTTGTAAAAGTAGATGGTATGAATGGCTTAGGTATTTCATACAAATTTTCATCTAGTGATGTTGTTGGTGGAAACATAAAACTAGTATCATAATTTTGTTGTTGCGAAGGCATTGATTGTGTATAACCAAATGGAGATAATACATTCGATGATGACGGAGGATTTGTTGTTGTAACAACTTGCGATGATCCTGAGTAATCAGTATACCATAAATCTTGTTGTTGATTAGATGCTGTATTTTGCATAGAAAAAGGATTTATAAGTGTTGCCGGAACTGATTCTATTGATGGTGAAGGATCTATTACTGTTATATATTGATCAGGTGTAGCATTGAAGGTATTTTGATTAGTTGCTAGTGATGATGATGATGAATCAAAAGAACTCTGAAAACTAATTCCTCGCTCATTCGAGTGCTGTAAATATGGTAATGAAAATAAATATATGACAACATCTTAGAATAATAAATAACTTACATTTGCTTGATTCGTTTGTACTGAAGTCGGTTCAGCTGATGGCCAATTAAAATCCGAATCCAAATTGGTATGTAGTTGTGATTGTTCTTCCATTAGTGGTTGAACGTTTGTTTGTGATGGTGGTTGAACATACGAATTAATATTCATCATACCAAAATTCATATCCTCATATGTATTTGCAGGTGCTGGTGGCTCCTGTGCTGGTTCTTGTGTAGTATCATAGATTTGTTCTACATAATTTGCTGGAATAGAACCAGCTTGTCCAGCAGAATTTTGCGCATACCTAATTTTTTCATTTTTTAAAAACAAAAACAAAAAAAACAATGATTTTATCTTACCACCATTGTTGCCCCGCAGTAGTTGAATCTATAAAAAGTATCTCACCTGCATTAAAACTAAGTTCCTGTGAATTTTCACCAACAAAATCATAAATTGCACGTGCTTGAAATGAATTTGTAGCCATTATTTTTTTACAATATAAAAACTACTAGATATTATATCAAAGTTAACCGTCGTTTTTAAAAAATATAAAATATTACAAAGTAAAAAATAAAAAAAAAATTATCTACAGGTAAACATAGGTTAAAAAAAGTACATGAATCATTTAAATTTTTATTATTGGTTACCTGCATAGACCAACCTTTTTAAATATTATTAGGAAGAATGAAAAATAATACCAAAAGAATTGCGTAATATGTACTTTTTTCTATAAATTTTTATGATTGCATGCGAATATAGCATTTTTTTAGGGGGAAAACCCAAGTTAGCAACCTTTAGACTCGTCTAGGTTATATATGCATTGATTGATTAAAATAATAAGTGTATAGATTTTATACTGATTATACTTTAAGGTAATTGCACTATAGAAAATGGATTCATCGTTAAACGATACACAGAATGATCAGATATTAAATCAATTATCATCAAATACAATAGCTGAGGAATCAATTTTCAATCTGAGTAAGTAAAAAAATGAATATTGATTTTTAATGAATTTTTTTTATTTTTATAGAAATATCTAATATTTATCTGAAAGAAATTGATTCTCTTCTAAAGCGATTAATTTGTTTAAATAAATTGCCATCAATTGTAGACGCTAAAGTTTCTGAATTTGAGTCATCATTTTCTCAATATTATTTATTAAATAAATTTTTAAATGATGATGAACAATTACAAACGTCTATTACTCATCTCAAACAGGAATTTAAACGAATTTATATACTTGTATATGAAGCAAATAAAATATCAAATGAACTACAATGCTGTATAGACTATAATGTTATATTACAAATACCTGTTTCATATTTGAAATCGAATGAGCGTGTATCTAAATATATATCTTCCGAGAAAACGTGTAACTTCTATGAACTAGTTGTTCAAGTCAAACGACAAAATTCAGTAATAGATGTATGGAATATAGAAGAATTTGAATGTAGACTAAGTACAATGAAAGATATTTATGATAGATGGAAAAAATCTGAAAATAAAGTAAAGATATTTTTTAATATATAAAAAAAACGTTTGTGTTCATTTTCATTTAGAATAATTTCTTAGTAAAAGAATTAAAACAAAAGAATGTATTTTATAATGAAACATCTAAAACTCTTATTGGGGTTGCTAATATCTACTTAAAACCGTTATTTTACAATTCAAAAGTCGATTACACAGTGCCGATTATTAATACAAAAGGCGAGGTAATATACTATTAAATTATAGTTTTAGAAATTATTACTAAAATAAGCAATCAATTGAAATTCAACTTAAGTTACACCCTCACCTACCCACTCTTCTGCGCTTCTCTAGAAATATATTATTTGAACAAAAAACCTGCTTAGCTATAGTACTAAAGCTTCATCGATAGTAATAATCGATCCAATCATATATATATAGATGGAAATCTAACAAGAGCAGTTTGAACTTGAACAGGCTATCCTAGTTCGATTTTTTTTATCGTTATTTAAAAAATACCAAAATTTCGAATCCATATTGTTCCAGTAGTAGCTTAGCTTTGGCATTTGTACCAACCGTATCTCTTCATCTGTGGTTGATTTCATCGAGAGAATATTGATCGTCTGCTGATCTCATAGGTTTGCAAGGATTGCTTCGCATACCGATTAATTTTGCGATTCATAAGGAGAATAATTTTATTGGTGATACAATGCCGATATCAATCGATTATATAATTATGCTCTAAAATAGATGATACTTCTTTGATGAATCCATGATTTCTTCAGATCCCAGATTCATCGAATAAAAACCATTATACAAAAAGCTCAATTCTCTCAGTAAACCAACAGTATCTTCTGTATCGGCTCTTTTCACGAAATATAAAATATTTCTAGAATTTCAGTCGCTTTTATACATAGAAACAACTTGAAGTTTCGCTTCCTTATCTCATACATACCACGTGTAGGAAGAAAGAGAACATCGCAAATAATGATTCATTATGAGGCGTTACAAAAGGAGAAAATGATGAATAAATCGGAGAAGATCATTAGATTTATCTTTTAGAAATTACCTGTTCATGAATACTGCATCCTGTTCAATGTGTTAAAATAAGATTTCATATACTTATATACAAAAAACGAAGTTTGCTTTGAAAGTATAAAATATATCGAAGCGAAAAGACAGATATTTATTTGATAAGGGTACATTGCCAACATTGTTTCAACGTATGACAAACTTATAGATAATCAGTTATATATAACACTTTTCTAGAAACTATTTGTAATTGTTTTAATACATATTTCACTCCAGATTTTGAGAAGAACTCAATGTAGTATATGTATATCACGCCTATCATCAAATAGTATAGTTAGAAATATTATGGCATCTCTCTAATAGTTAAATGAATGTAAAATATTTGTACTACGGTTCTAATTCATAGAAAGTGACATGAAGAACCATTTAATGTAATTTATATTGAAACTATAATGAACATGTCTATATCGCTCATAGTTTTTTCAAAGCCAACTGAACATCATACCTTTCACTTACATATATGACTTCTAAAGAATCCGTCAAAAGTTAATAAATAGCATTTTCAGTTGTTGATTCTTGCTATTTTGAGAGCGAAACCCGTAAATGCAATTTTTCCTTAATTAACAAAACCGATATATAGTTTTATGATCTTACGCATGCTTTTATGAAATATTTCAATTTGATGTATTTTATTGACAGACATCTGGTTCATTGAATATTACTCTTGATGGAATCGGATCATTTTCCATGAATAAAATAAATGATTTTCAAGTAAATACTACAACGACAGTCTATAGAAGTATGAGTGAAGGAATTAGTGCTGATATGGATGAACAAAGTCTTAGTAATGTTAGTGCCGGTGAATATAGTCTTCAAGACGAAGGTATTGATGAATCAATTTCATTCTCTAATGGTACAAATGATCAAATGACAGTAAAAGTATGTATATCGTGAAGGAAAAACGGAAAACTAATTTAGCTTATATGTAATAGTTTTCAATAAAAGAAGCACGTGGTTTACCTCCATCTGATACTGATAATGTCATGTGTCGATATACATTAATGAACGCGGTGATTGATCAGACAGTTGTTTCAGTAAAACCATTCGATGATGATGAAATCGAACGAAAACCGAATACATTTTCATTTATTCATGAAAAAGTATAACTCGAAGTAAATCATAAATCTATTCTAATCTTGTTTTTTTGTTATTCAAAAGGAGTTTACATTTCCAATAACGAATGATTTTCTATCAACACATCGAGATAACTGTATATCAATCGAAGTTTATTATCAATATAAATCAAAATTACAATTAAATCCTATAGTAGAAAATAATACAATCAATCAATTTGATATCAAAACTCAAGAAATCAATAGACAATGGAAACATAAGAGAAGTTATATACAATGTGCTGTTGAAATACATGAATTCGATGATGTTTCAAAACAATGGCAACCTATTGATGCTGAGCACGTAGAAGGAACTACTAGTGGAGGAATTTATCGTTTAAAACAGGTTTTGTAATAAAAATAAAATCATATATCCTATTATATTTGAATATATTTTGATTAGGACGAACCAAAACGTCTTGTGATAGACTTACGAGTACTTCCTAAAGAAAATTCTATACCATTATCAATTTCTACTATACAATCTGTTGAAATTGGTTCAATTAGTAAACGAAGAATCGATGCTCCAATTCAATTAGATTCATATCAAGATAAAGATTTACAATACATAAAAGATGAATGGTTAGATTCAATTAATAAACGTAGACGTCATATTAAATCTCAGATAAAATATCTCAGTGAAAAAACAAGTATAACAAAAAATTTCTTTAATATATGTATATATTATTGTTATTATTTAGATGAAAGTCAAGCTGATATTCAAATGGGAACTATTTTGCTTGAAAAACTCGAACAATTAGCTATAGAACATAATATTGCTCTAGTTCCTCCAGTGGGTAGTGGAATACCGGGTAAATAATTTAAATGAGTTTTTAAAAGAATTATATTTTTTCCTTTAATCACAAAAAATTATTCAAGTAGAAAACAAAGAGAATTGAATAATTTCCTTTTCTTATTTATTAATAATATTACCGCTTTTTCAAAAAATCATATAGTTGAAAGAAACCTATTTCTATTTATAGTCAATATTATAAGAAAAATAGAATTATCAAGATCTATGTCATAAAATACATCAGAGTGATTGTTTTCATCTACAGAAAAAATGTATCTTTCATTGTAAATCGTCACTATATAAAGTCTATCATTTGATCGATAAAATTACGCATCCTATAACTAAATACATATACTTTTGTAGGTGCTTCAATTACTTGGAATCCACCAATATCAGCTGAAGAACGTCTCCCACTTATATTGTTAAATCTAGATCCTTTTACATTGAATAAATCAACAGAAATAGTGGGTGATCAAATAGAATTATCTGACGAAAACATGAATGATATGTGTGAACTACCATTAGTTCAAAATAGATCGAATTCAGTTAATAAATACATATATTGTAAATTGAATATAATTGAAAATATTTTTAGACTCGTGCTATTGCTCGATGGGATCTATCAACGACAATGTAATTTTATTTTATGAAATTTTTATAAAATTTTATTGAATAAATAATAGGAATCAAGTTACACCTGATGGTACAATTGTTTATTTGATTGTCAAGATAATTGTAATGATTAGTGAACCAGTTCCAATGAAAGTTGTTTTACGTAAACGTATTGCTGTTATAATTAGTAAACAAGAAGGATGGTTGCCAACTAAAATGTTTAAAAATATTCTCGGCTATGTAAAAATTATGTTTTTATTGTAAATAAAACTTTATTTTCTTCGTTATTTGTAGGAAACATCGAAACGAACAAGTGTTTTTTATGAAATAATATCGACTCTACCAAAGAGTTTCTATGAAATTGAAGATCAAAATCAATTGGATCCTGACTATCTTTCACAAAATTATATTGAAAAATGTGTTCAATATGCTTCAAGTATTGATTCACTTCTATTACGTGATAATTTAAGACAAGTAAATTTAATTCGATTATAAATATATAGAAACTATATAGATAATTTTAGCAAGTTTTATTAGAAGAAAATTGTGTTAAACAACAAAAAATACGAAAAGTGACAAGTGTATCAAGTTTACCATTTGGAGAAAATGAGGTTAGTTTTTTTTTTCATATATATATATACATCTTATATTAATACAAATATTCCATTCATTAATCATTGTTTCACTTCAATAATAATTTGACAGTCGAAGAAAATCTTTTCTAAGTGCATAAAATTATCGTATAGTTATTTTTGTCTCAAGCAAAAACTATTCTAATTTAATACTAATGTAAATATACTAAACAAAGAACTTTAGATAAATTGTGAATAATTATCGAATAGATTTATTCAAAGTTTTTGATACTTATTTAATGATTCACTATTAAGTATAGTATCATTTATTAATAACGAACAGATAAAATCTATAGTAGATTGAGGCGATAGAATATCCTATACTACTAATTTCACCTATGAAATTACCATCAGAGTTAAAACTTGATAATGAGCATTGGCGGCGAGAGTAGGAAATAGAAAGTTATTGCATTCATATTAATTTGTATTGAAGAATGAAGAGAAAATTTAAAATTTTATTGTCTCTCCTAAAAAATAGGCCTGCGCCGCCAATGATAATGAGAATGAAAATTATTCAATTGATTCTCAAGTCATTGTCAATACTGGTGTTTCTATAGTTAATAAACCTGGTATTATTCGTTATATTGGAAAGACTATTATTAAGAACGGTATTTGGTATGGAATTGAACTTGAGGAAGCAGTTGGTGAGTTAAACTATTATTTTTTATGTTTAATAAGTCTCTCAAAAAAAAATGAATTTTTAATTTAGGAAAAAATAATGGTTCATATAAGGGTGAAATCTATTTTGAATGTGCTGATAATCATGGAACATTTGTACGTCGTGATAAAATTAAACTGATTAATTAAATTTTATTATTATTTACAAAACATACATGTAATTTGATTCTCTATCTATGATATCTATTAAATTCTATCCGTATCATTATCTTTCTTTTTATTTTTATATCATATGAATATGTGTGTGTATTTATTATACAAGAAAAAGTTTTTTTTATATTCGAATAAATATTATCATGATTATAGAATCTAACCATTTTGTGTATATGTTCCGGTCAAGGCTAATGGAATGTAACCATTTATAATTGATGAGAATATCTTATGCATATATGTCTATGTATATATATATATATTTATAGTAGATTTGGTTAAAAATAACCTTTGCCATCGTCGGAAAAATGGTTATTTACCTAAACTAGAAATAGAATCATCTCATCATACATCTTCTTTCTTGTTCTATCAATCAATGTAGTAAAAAAGAGAAAGGAAAAAAAAACATAGTGTTATAGTATGCGTTTTCATATACATGAGTCGATCAATGGTGAATGAAGCAGAAAAATAAATAATGGACTACTATCTCAAATACCACCCTCTTCTTTCATGTATTTCATCTTTTACTCTATCAGGATTGAACTCTTGTGTTGTCATTGTTATTGTTATTGAATAGCTAAAGGCGGAAATCACTTTTGAGACAGAAGCAAAAGAAGACTATATTTGCACTCAAATTGAATCGACTGAATCAAATAATCACAATACAACTAACCACTTTCTCTAGTAATAACAAGAAGAAAAAAAAATAACGAATAAGTATCTATGTATATAAATATGTATACATAGGAGAATACGTCGTGTAAAATCTCAAGTAAATTAATAATGATTGATGATTTCCTTTTTTTTCTATATCTGTCAACTATATACCAACAAAATTATCATTTTGGATTGGACAAGACAAGTAATTCTATCTACTCAAGTGACAAGAAAACATCTATTCACTATAAGGAGAAAAGACAGAAATTAGTTTGTCTTTGTCATATTAAACATTATATTTAAGAATTTAGTTTCCTATATTTTATATCATTGTTGTTTTCTTTTACTTTCTTTCATCTTTCTTTTTTTTTTATGATGTTATGTTTTCATTCTTATTTTTAAATATAAATTAATATTTACATTAGAATTATTGTTTTTTTTTCTTGTAGATTTTCTTTTATTTTATACATTAAATACTTATTGATATTAGATAAATAATTCGGATTTTTTTGTTATTATCAAGAACTTAGTTGGTTTAAAATATAATTAGATAATGTATAATCAACAGATTTCTTTATCTCTACGTTTGATTATAATGAATTATGGCTTTGGGATGCCGAAGCACCAGATTGTTTTTATTACAAACTCCTGTTTTTAATAGCCAATTTATCATATATATATAATCATTGAGAGAAAAAAACAATTGCGTTCGTTCGAATCCTCTAATGTGAGACAAAAGTTCAAGGTCAATGAGACTATTTTCCCCAAAAGGAAAAAATCTTAGTATTTATCTGTGTGGGGGAGTACTACCATCAATATTATCACTACCACTAACATTGCCACTGTCGTTGCAGTCGTCATCAGGATCACACAAACAACAACATAGCAGGAAAAAAAGAAAGAGAGAGAGAGAGAGAGGGAACGAGAGCGAGAGGGCAAAATCTTCTTTGCTGTCTGTCTTTCTTGCTCTCCCTCTCTTTCGTTTCTGTTCTTCTTTGTCGCTATAAAGAAATGATGAAAAAACTCACAGTAGCAGCATCAACGACGGCGGCAGAGAAAGTCGAAGTTCTCTTTATATATATATATATATAATATATATATATATATATGCGTGTGTGTATGTGTGTGTGTGTGTGTGTTAGATGAAGAGTATAGCAAAAAAACGCGACGAGCAAAAGAAACGAAGAAGAAGAGCACGGTACATTTTTCTCTTCATCCAGCTAGCGTCCGACCGGGCTGTTCTTCTTCAGCCTTAAGCAGCATCCCTCATTATTATCGTGATTATCGAACTCGACTTGTGTCATTGCTCTAGATATAAATATATACATTGGTACGCATGAGCGAAAAAACAGGAAGACAAAAAATACATATTTGATAGTATTTAGACCAAAACCAACGACAATACTATATTATATATATATAATATATACTCACAGGTACTTAGCTAATTTTTTTTCTTACATTTTTTTCTCTTTTTCTTTTTTTACTATTTTTCTCTGAAATGATTGCGTCACATGCATGTATATATATAAATATATACGTAGCATAAGGAAGAAAGACTAAAAAACAGATGCAGACAATAATGCGATTCAAGATGATGAAGATGAATAACGAGCGGAAATTAGAAAAAAAATTCTATCTTACAAATCTTTAGTCTGTTGGAAACTAAATAAATGACTGATTTTTTTTGTGCATGCATGTGACTGTCAATGGAACACTAATAGAATATCGATGTGATAGTAGTAGGAGTAGTAGTAGTAGTAGTATAGTGCGCAAAAGGACTACTAATGATAATAATAGTAGAAGCAGAACTAACAGATGCAAATTAGATTCCAAAAAAAAAGAAAAATGATGAGAAGATATTGAAATGAATTATTAGTAGAAAATTAGTTGTATAAAAAGATATATATGTAGTGAGTATGCTATTGTACGACTAAATCAATATTCATAGATAGTTCTTTTGCAAACAACAATTTTTTGCTCTTCTATTTCTATTCTCCTACCACTTCGGGTGTCTCCTAATTAAACTGTTGCCTTTCAAGCAATAAATAACTGATGAGAAAATATGTGTATGTGTGAAGAGAAACACGCGCACATACACATACAAACATGCATCATACAGAGAGAGAGCGCGAGAGAGAGAAAAAATGAAGACGAGATATATCACAGAGCTAAATTCCTGCAATCTTATCTTCTCTTTGACTTAAATATCCAGCAATCTATACATACATATTTCATTGCTGGTAATCATTAGACGTAACATTTGGAAAGACTTGTTATACGAGAAACCTCTAATGATTCCTATTCTTTTTACTCTTCCTTATACGATTATTAACATAAATAAATTGTGCGATCTCCGTCATATAACAACAAATTATTTGATGACGACACCCAGATATTGATAAGATTTGATGTCATCAAAATGAAGTAATCTGATGGTTCCCATATGAGATTCATAAAGAAATAACATATAACGAATGTTTGCCTTTTCAAGTTAACTTTACCATATGAATGACACAACACACACACACAAGTGTCAAAGTTACTCCTTTGGGATAAACTCCTCCTTTTGACTATTTTTGTTCTTCGACTACTTCTTCTTCTTGTTCTTCATTTTTTTTTCTTCTTCTTCTTCTTCTTCTTCTTCTTTTTCTTCCTTCCGTCTTGTCTCTGTGACTCTCAGCGGGAATCTTGTCATGTAGAATGATGTAGAGCGTCAAATTAGTATTTGACGACACCAGTCAGTAATAGCAACAATGTAAGACCGAGTGTAATAGATGAGCAGCGCACCAGATGCATTACATTGAAAGGCGATCTTGGAAAGAAAAAATCTTTTTTAAGTGCAATAATTAGTTAGATATTACAAGATAATATCATGATTTACTTTTCCTCTATATTTACATATATATTTAGATGACTTGAATACGAAATATGTTTTTCGGTCAGTCAAATAGTTGATAATCGAGCGAGCTATGAAAGGAATTTGCCCGCCGATGATCATCATCCATGAATCGATTTGATTGGAATAAACTTTCACCCGACGAATTTCAACGTCTACAAGACTATATTTCATGTATGTTTAATCAATATTTATCTCATGAGATTAACTGTATATATATATCTATCTATATCTATTAAGATGCTCCCAAGAAAGTCAAAGATGTTGTTGCTATTCTTGAAAAAGATCAAAATTGGTTAAAACATAAATATGATGAAGTAAGTTTATTTTACTTGTTTTTATTATTCTCTAAACACTTGTTTTCTTTTTAGCAACTTGATTATGTCGGTTTTCGACAATTTCTGGATTTACTTGTCGATAATGCTGATATACCAGAAGATTTATGTCGACATTTGTTTTTATCATTTATTAAAAAACCTCAAATGGTACAAACAATCGATCCAGCATCAGCCATTAGAACACTTCCAATTGCAACAGGAATATCACCGTCTACGACGACAACTACACCAGTACCAACACCAGTAATAACTTCTTCACAAACTCCAACAATATTTACAGTTTTTCGTCAAAAAAAAACTACTGATGATCCACCTATTGATGCTAAAATTCGAACGGGTTAGTTTTGATAGATAAAAAGTTAATTTTAAAATTTATCTTTTTTTATTATTATAGGTATTTGTTCTAGTGGGAAAGAAAGTCTTACACGTCGAAATAATTCTCATGATCAACATCATGAATCACCTGGAAATTCTCGACAATCATCGAGAAAATCTAATCCCTCCATACATTCGATTCATTCATTGCATAGTAATGGTAATAATAAACAAAATTTGTATATTTCAATTTACAAATATTTCTCTTATTCTAGCGGTAACAACAGTTAATAATTCAGATGATCCATGGGTCTTTCGTACATCTCTTTCACAATTATTATCTAAAATATCTGGTAATGAACTTACACGTGATGGTCATAATCATCATCATCATCATCATTTTCCATCAGCACAACAACAAGCAGCAATGATTCAATCACACCAAATTGATATAAATACAACACGAATTTATTTAAAAGATATTGTTTGTTATTTTTCATTGCTGGAAGGTGGAACACCAGAACAAAAACTTGAATGTAAATCATGAATTTTTTCTTCCTTGAAAATGCGATATATATATATATTCTTTATTTTTAGTCATGTTTATGTTATATGATGAAGATGGAAATGGAATGTTAGATAAACGAGTTTGTTTTGAAAAAAAGAATCTTTATTCAAGAGAAGTTTTAACCTTTTATATATTTAGGAAACAGATTCAATCGTTAATCAAATGATGAATGTTGCTGAATATCTTGGTTGGGATGTATCTGAATTAAGACCAGTAATAAAATTCGAATTACTTAAAAATCTATTTACGAAAAAATTGATTTAGATTCTTGAAACAATGATGAAAGATATTGATTATGATAATGATGGTACTGTAACATTAAGTGAATGGACACGAGGTGGATTAACAACAGCACCTCTTCTTGTATTACTTGGACTTGATTCAGTAAATTATTTTATGGAATAATTTCGATTTTTATTTTTTTTTTGCAAAAAATTAGAATGTAAAAGATGACGGAACTCATTCATGGAGATTAAAACATTTTAATAAACCTGCTTATTGTAATCTTTGTTTAACAATGCTTGTTGGATTAGGTAAACAAGGTTTATGCTGTACATGTAAGTTTTATTTCATAGATAAAAATCATAATAACGTTTTTTTTTTTCGATAGTTTGTCGATATGTTGTTCATGAACGTTGTGCTAATCGTGCACCAGCAAATTGTATTTCAACATATGCAAAAGCACGTAAACCTGATACAATAATGTTACATCATTGGACTGAAGGCAATTGTGCCGGAAAGTAAGAGAACAATAGAAGAAGAAGAAAAACTTTTATTTAAATTGATTCTAGATGTGATCGATGTAAGAAATCAATTAAAAGTTATAATGGTATCACCGGTCTTCATTGTCGTTGGTGTCAAATGACCTTGCATAATAAATGTGCATCACAATTAAAACCTGAATGTGCATTAGGACCTAATCGAGAACATATTATACCGCCAATATGTATTTGTCCAGCTGTTTTGGTAGAGAAATATCTTTTACTTATTATATATATATATAAATAAAATTTATTAGGAACGACCAAAAGCTTCACGAACTGGAAGTGAAGTTAAAAAAGAAGATTCATGTGTTGAAGGAAACATGCAATCATTTCAAATCAATCCATTACCAAATACACATCCATTACTTGTTTTTATTAATCCAAAATCAGGTGGAAAACAAGGAGAACGGTACTTACAAAAATAACTGATTATATTTGAAGAAATTAATTGATTTTTAATTTTAGTATAATGCGTAAATTTCAATTTTTATTAAATCCTCGTCAAGTATTTAATCTTGCTAAGTCTGGACCAATGCCTGGGTAAGACTTTATTTTTAAATAGATAGTAATCAATTATAGATATTTTATTCTGAAAAAAAAATTTAATTAACTGTCTACATAATAAATTTCTTCCTTATACTAATTTTTAGAATATATTTATCATACAATATTTTGTGAGAAAATATTAATAAAATACGTTATTTAGTATAGATGATTTCCTTAGAGTATTATTTAGAAAGAATATTTCTCTTGATAATACTTGGCTTTATTAGTGGAACAAATATTGTAGCGTATTTTAAGAATCTAAGAAAAAAAAACAAGATATGAACCGTAAAATCTGAAGATTTTTCTATGATAAAATATTGTTAATAGTGATTTTTTTCTTCGATTATATAGAATATTGACAAATAATATTATTTTCGCATATCGTAAACACTACCTTTTAATTATCAAAGTTTGAAATTATATTTCAGTGTAAAATATTTTTCTTTGTTTATATTAATGATGATAAAATAATGCCAGTCTCTCAGCTTCTTTTTTATCTAAACTATAATCTTTGCATGTACTAATCTGATTGCATGACTTAATATACAAGGCTTAAACATCATCTCGTGTTTCTACATTTGATAAAGCTCTATTTTGATTATTAATATACAATTATTCATATTGTTTACCTTTAAAATATTTTCTATATAAAAAAATTCTTAGTTCGTAAATATTTGATTTTTTCATATTGAATATGTACTACGGATAAACGAAAGAAAACAAAATTTCTCGTTCATTAAATAAGTTAGCTTTTGTCCTTCTTTTTTTAACGAGAAGAATTTCATATATATATATATATATTGATCTGAATTGTTGATACTTCAAGTGCAAAAATCGAATGCTATTCATTGATATGAAAGACTAATCTTATTTTTGTCAAGAGTTACACTTAAGATCGTACGGGAAATATTTTTTTCTCTATAAAAATCATATGCTAATATTCTTGATCATATTAAATATAATAAAATCAATATTTATTTAGATTACAATTCTTTAAAGATCTTGAAGATTTCCGCGTTCTATGTTGTGGTGGTGATGGAACTGGTATGTGAATATTAAAAATCATAATTAACTAAATTATTCTTTTATATATATATATTTAGTGGGTTGGGTACTTGATGTTATGGATCGAGTACCACTTCGTCGTCGAGCTCCTGTTGCTGTTTTACCATTAGGTACTGGAAATGATTTAGCTCGATGTTTAGCATGGGGTGGTGGTTATGAAAATGAAAGTTTAACAAAAGTACTGAAAAAAGTAGCTCAAGCTCCAATGATTATGCTTGATCGATGGCAAATTGAATTTAGTACACAAACAGATACAGAAGAAAAAGGAGATGATATTCCATATAATATAATAAATAATTATTTTTCTATTGGTGTTGTAAGTAGTTAAATTCTGTGTATTTTGATTTTGGTTATGAAGTAAAATATTTTTTTCTTAGGATGCGTCAATTGCTCATCGATTTCATTTAATGCGTGAAAAACATCCAGAAAAATTTAGTAGCAGGTTTGTTTTATGAAATAATTCTATTTTTTGTTTTAATCGATCTATTTGTTTTTAGAATGAAAAATAAATTATGGTATTTAGAATTTGGTACTTCAGAAGCACTATCATCTACATGTAAAAATTTGCATGAAGATATTGATATAATGGTAGATTTTGAAAGATTAAATATTATTCATAAAATTATATTCTTTTTACTTATGATTATAGTGCGATGGTGTTTCACTTGATTTATCAAATGGACCATCTTTAGAAGGTATTGCATTATTAAATATTCCAAGTATATATGGTGGTACTTCATTGTGGGGTGAAGGTGCTCGACATAAAAGTCGAAAAACACCGTTGAGCCTTCATCGAAAAGACTCGTATGTAATCGAAAAAGAAATATAAATTAAAATATTTTTCTATGAATTTTTATAGGGAATATTCCACAAGTTCAACGTCAGATATGACATTTGTTTTACAAGGTAAATCTATTTAAAAAGAAGATGAAGATATATATATATATATATATTTAAATCTTTTAGATGTGGGAGATAAATTAATAGAAGTTGTTGGTGTACAGTCAGCTATACATGCTGGATCTATTTATGCTGGTGTTCGATCAAGTGCAAAACGACTTGGTCAATGTTCATCAGTTGTTATCAGGTAAGAATGAAATATTTTCAAAAAAAATATATTTATATAATATTTATTTTCATTTTTAAAGAACTCACAAAAGTTTCCCGATGCAAATCGATGGTGAACCATGGCTACAACCACCATGTACTATTTCAGTAATACATAAAAATCAAGTACCAATGTTAATGGCACCACGAAAAGAACGTAAAAATGGTTTATGGCGTTTCTTTCGAAAACAATAACATTTAGGATAAAAGAAATTCATCGGGAACTGTGATAATCTGATTAAGAATAAAATATAAAAATACATACTATTTAAAAATATACGTTTCTTCCTTTTTTTTCTCTCTCTCTCCTCTATTTCTATTTTTTTCAACAGTGATGTTTCTAGTCTGATAGATTATATTCTCCATCACACAAATAAATGTGTGAAAATTATAGTCTAAGAAATATTTTTGTCTGCAGTTGTTAGTTTTAATGTTCATGTTAATAGTGGTGATTTGTATGTTTTCTTTTCAAAAAAAAAACAAAATGTCAACTTTGTCATTGCCTTAATTGTGTGAATTCGTGATTATGTGTTCGTCTATAGTTTATTTATGTGTATATTGTATTTTTTTCATAAATATATACACAGAAAAATAAAAATGTATGTCAATGCTAATTAGTGCATTTAAGAAACAGAAGAATATAGATGTTGATGTATCACGAAAGATCATATTATTATTATTCAATTGTTAATCTTTTTTTGCAAGCAAAAATACATTAAGTCTAGCAATGTATTCATACGCATTTTGATAGAAAATATATTGAGAAAAAAATGTCATACATATTGATTCTGAATTACATATAGTAATCGTTTTAGCTTATGAAAACAAATAAGATGTCAAAACTAATACATCTATCGAAAGAAACACTTATTATGAGAAAATTCCAATAAAAATATTCTATCATAAGAGGATATTAATGTCGCAGTATTTTTGGAATATTCTCAGACTAATTGAATATTTTATTATTAGAATAGTTCCAAATGTTTGTTTATTGAACTATTCAAATATATTTTAATATTAAAACTTTTAAATAATACAAAGATTTTAACGTAACTGGTGACTTCTACTTTTGCTATTTACCAAAAGACTAAATAATGAAATTTTTATCGATAGACAATCTCAATGCTCCTCAGACTATCCTATGCACTTGAGCTGAAGAAAATATTCTTTTATTGAGTAACCGAATTATTAGAAGATAGTTATTTTGTCATACATATAGTACAAAAAACCCAAAATTATAACAAATAAATAGTATTTTATATTGAAACTTGTATGATGTTTTAAAATGTATTGAATTTATCTACCGACAAAAAATCTAGACTGGAATTCTTGTTTGATTGTTTAATAAATCTTGAAAAATGAATGACATGATCATGAATCAATTATAATGGACTATTCTAAAAAGAAAAATAATGAGTACTGTAGAATATTATTATGCTATAGAATGTTTCGATCTTAACTTAATAATTTCATTAAGAATATTTGTTATCCAACTTGCTATTGAATACCAAAATCGAAACTTTATATCAATATCCAATCAATAAGATCTTGCTGATATGACATTTTCTTTTGTTGAATGCTATAAAAATTTAATGTAAAATATTTTATTTTTATTTATTTTGGGCAACCACGAAAAACTGGGATAGGATCGGTAACTGTCTTATGTAAATCAAGTATTTGATTTGTTGCTGCTGGAAGACGTGGTTGATTACTTGATTGAAATAATATTATTGTACTTATTGGCATTGAAATAAGATAAATAAAAAATAAAACTCGATCAATTAGCACAGCAATTTGTTTAAGAGATCGTTTTGGTTGAAATAGATGATAACGAAAATCAGCAGTACTTTGTCGTACCAATAAATTCATTAATAATTGTCGAATATATCGAATATCATGTAATACTTCGAGACCACTAACATCTGTTTGTTCAGGTAATTTATAATGAATATTTCGACGTTTTTTCAAGAATGTCCATCGTTGTTTGTTCATTTCTAATAATGATTCATGTATATTAGATAAAATAGGTTTTTGTTTTCCTTTAAGTTTTTTGTGTTTCATAGAATATTGTTCATGATAATAGATAAATATTGTAAAAATATTAAATATACAAGAAAGAAAAACAAAAGAAAATACTATGTTGGAATATAATGTTAATATTGAAAACCCACGTTCAGTTTTTGGTACATAATCAGATATAGTCTGTAGATAAATAGATAATGAAAGTAAAACACTAACAGTAAGTGCTACTTTTTCACCACTATCTGTTGGTAAGCAAAATGAGAATAATGCAAGTGATGATATAATCGAAAATGGGAAAATTATTTTTAAAATATAAAAACGTGAAAGACGTACAAGTTCAATATTGATTTTAATTGTACTAAAATTTCGTTGATGATGTGGATTATATAAATCAATCTCTTCAATGGTTGCATGCGTAATTTCCCATTCAGTTCTTATGAGATTATAGAGTCGTACTACTTTATACAGACTGCGTAATTTTAATTGGCTTGTATCAAATATAGTTGATTGAAGAATAATAGAACAATATTGTCGATCAAATGGGAAATTCCGAACATCGACTTCACAGAATGAAACAATTCTATCTTGATACGACCATCGAACATTACCGGTACAAATAACTAAAACAGGATATTGAGATTTAGAATCTTTTTCTATTTTTCCTGGTCCATTTATTGCAACAATATCTGGTGTCCATAATTCATGTGGACTAAAGAAAATTTCTGAACGATTTTTTCTGCCAATACAGGGTTGTCCACTTGAATTCCAATGTAAAAGACTATCACACCATTTTAATTCAAAATTAGCATTAAGTGTAATAACCTTAAAAATTTTAAAAAATAAGTAATTTTGTATAGTATATAAAACATTAATTAAAAGGCTACATTTAAAATTATTATATTAGTGTTTGAAAAGAAAATGATAAATTAGAAAAATAATTACTGAAAGGTCCTACTAGCTACATTAGAATAAAGTTTACAGGTGTTTTTCGAAAAATGTAGTAATACTTGATTTTTAATATCGCTAGTTATTGTTAGCATTGAACTGTCGGAATAAATAAAAAAATCGATCGATATTTGAAAATCATTATATATAACTTAAATAATTCTTGATAATAATGTAGACATTAAATGCAGTCAAGAAAATCTATCTTTAATAAGTTTCATTTCGTTTATACTTACTTGTTTTTGGGGATCAATTCCAACTACTTCCATAATTCCTAAACCAAGTGCAATGACTGTTTGACTAACATTTTTGGTTGATGGTCTTATTAATAAATGATCTGAATAAAGTTTTTTAATACGAATTCGATTCATTTCAACTGGACTATAATCTTTAGCATATATGATCATCATTAACAATATTTCCAAATATAGAGTAAAACTATATATTAACTGCATGTTTCCACTATTCTTCTTTTCAGAATAAGAACATCTAAAGAACTCTCTAAGAGCTATTCAGTTTTTTTCCACTAATCTCATAAAGATGACAGCTCGATAATCGTTTTAATAATAAAAAATTGTCTCGAGCACAAAAGAAAATGAATATATTAAATTATGTTGATTGACATTTTGTTTTATGAAGATAAAAAAAAATTACAATATACAATAGAAAAAATTGTTCAATGAATACATTCTGGTTGATGTACGTCTTGCTTTGGTAATGGTTCTCCATCTTTTTTCGTATGATACCAGTTTAAATATTCTTGTATATAAGATTCTGCTTTTTCCCAAATCTAAAAAAAATAGAAATCGTAAAACATATATTCTATACATAAATTAGTTGTATACTTACAATACCAGATTTGATAATATCAGTAGCTTCTTTAATATCATGAGCCATAAATCGATCTTTCTCCCAAGAACTATAATGAAGACAAATAAATGAGTATTGAAATATATAAATTATAAAACAATATACTCTATTTTTTCTCGAACTAAATCATGTATAGCCTGTAATGGAGGTGTAGATTTTAAAGGTGCCAATAAATCAATTGCTTGGCAAGCCATAAGTAATTCAATAGCCATTACTAAAAATAAAATAATCTAATATTAGCCTCCATTTATTTAAGAAATTAATATTTTTAAAGAAGATTTTTTTTTAAGATGAAAATATCCTTTACACTATTTCTTCTTACAATGTAAAACAATCTTTTTTAATTGTTAAGATTTCTAAAAGAAATTATGATGACTTCTTAGGAGTCTTTCAAGTGAAAATAATTTGTATCTCATTTCCGAGAAACATTAAAAGTGTAACAGTAATTACTATTTTCTATTATGATTCAATGTATTGTTAAAGAATCATTTCGTGATAGTCTATAATTAGTATATAATATAAGCATATATTTTACTGATGAGAAAATGTACTTAAGCTGAACATACAAAAAAAATATTCTTTTGTTTCTTTTGTTATCGAATACATCTCAAATTGTTTTTTGACTTTCAAGATTTAATAGATGACATAGATTAAAATATCTCTTTGTTTACTTACTAATTTCAACATTATCTATAACTTTTAATGCTTTTCTAGCTGACCATCCACCCATAGAAACATGATCTTCTTGACCAGCACTTGTTGAAATAGTATCGACTGATGATGGATGACATAAAACTTTATTTTCAGAAACTAAAAATCGAAGGAATAGTTTATTTTATTTAAGTTTGTTTAAAAATATTTACCCAATGCTGCAGCAGTACAATGTGCAATCATAAAGCCTGAATTAAGACCTCCTTCAAGTGTTAAAAAAGCTGGTAAACCACTCATTCCATGATTAACAAGTCGTTCCATTCGACATGCACTTAAACTACCAATTTCATGTATACCAATTGCTAAACAATCTAAAGCCTTGCACAAAATTTTACATTAGAGAAATGTCAATAAATAAATAAATAAATTTACTTTAGCAGGATATTCTCCGTGGAAATTGCCACCGGACACAACTTCTTGAGTATCAGTAAATACCAATGGATTATCAGTGGCACTATTCATTTCAGTTGTTATTACTTTTTGAGCAAATTTAATTATATCCCAAGAAATTCCGTGGACCTAGAAAACAATCATACATGAGTAATGGCAATTGCTAGATATAAATTAACCTGTGGAATACATCGAATTGAATACGCATCTTGAACTTTACCACAATTATGATGACTGTCCGAAATACTTGATGGATGGAATTTAGAAGTTAGTAATGCACGTAATCGTTGTGCTACAAGATTTTGTCCATGATGAGGTCGAGATGCATGAAGACCTGATTGAAATAAAAATATTTCTAGAGATTAAATGATGAAGAACACACTTACGAGGATGTAAATGTCGAACAGTACCACGTAATGCTTCAGTACTCATAGCTGCGATTACATCTGCTTGACGAGCTAATGATATTGCTCGTTCAACACCTAAATATATGAAAAAAAAAGTAAATAAATAATGTGAATCAATCAATATAACCTTCTGCTCCTAATGATGTAATAAATTGTGTTCCATTGATCATTGTTAAACCCTGTAAATATTTATCATAAAGAGAAAAAAAAATATTTTGATTTTATCTTACTTCTTTTGGCTTATATTCGATAACCTCCAAGTCATTCTGTGCTAAAACCTCACTTGCAGTTGCCCAACCCGTTTTGGGTGACCACATACGTCCTACACCCATTAAACCTAATATAAATAATAACTTATATTAAAAACACAATCATTTTCATCACACTATTGTTTACCTGCAGCTAAATGTGCTAGTGGTGCCAGATCACCTGAAGCTCCTACGGTACCTTGTGATGGAATTTCTGGTATACATGATTCTAAATAAAAAAATAAATACTCGAATTAATATATCATGATATGAAAATATGTCTTACTATTAAATGCAGCAATAATTCTATGTAATGTGTCCTCCGAAATGCCTGAATATCCTTTAGCAAGAATATTTATTCTTAATGCAAACATCATTCGAGCTCGTTCAATACTCAATGGTTCACCAACACCCGCACAATGCGAAACAATCAATCGAGTTTGTAAATCTCTATATATATATATATATATTCGCAATATTGAAATAAACATATAAAAGTATAAAACTTACGCAAGTTTCTCATTAGGAATAATTTCATTGGCAAACGCACCAAAACCTGTATTCACACCATATACAACTTCAAAAAAATAACATAGATAATATTTGAATACAATATGAACAAAACCTTTTTTATTATCAATAATATAATCAACAACTTGTCGTGCTTTATGAATTAAATTCCATGTTGCTTCTGGCAACTAATGAACAAAATATATATTCTATATATATGATTTTATTACTTACTTCAATTTTATAATCACCAGTACTAAGACGAATCAAATCACTACATTTTAAATGATATCCATCAAGTATAACAACCTAGATAAGCATTTTTCTTTAGAAATTTTGAATTTCAAAACAAACTTACATGTCGGTTTTCATCTCTACAATGAGAAAAAAAATAGAAATTTAGTTATGCATAAAAGAATCATTTAAAAGACGTACGTAGCTACACTAAATGAACCATCATCATCCAGTCGTTTAACAGTATCTAAATTAAGAAGTTATTAATAAATTGAATACTAGTACAAATCTCACCAATTTCTACTGGTTCATCATCTTTTAATACATGTTGAACACAATCATTCATTGATATTAGACTTCGATCAGAACTACGTCGAGCCACAAAATCGCTGAATGGTATCTTATTATTACATCTGTCAATATATCTGCTGTAAGCAGTTTCACATAACCATTGTATAGTTTCATTACCAGTTTCACATACAATAAGAAATTTTTCTGGTATACTATGAATTGTTACTGGAATACGAAATACCATTTTAATTTTTTTATATAAACTTGATTCTTATTGACGATTAATGTGAAGGAATTGAATATACAGATACGATTAATTACGTACGTAATTTAAAAAAGTAATAAACGTTAATATAAAATACAATAATATATATACACACGCCTAAGTGACACACCTTACCATGCGTGTCCAATCTTCTTTTTATTTTCCTTGAATAAGATTGCAAGGGTATGGTTTATGACTGTGATTTTGATTAAACATTTGTCTTATTTCAAACAATCATTATATAAAAAAAAAAAAGATTCGATAAACCTCCAATCCCCCTCCATATTGTTGCTTATATTTTATCATTAATAGTCAATAATAAAGGATCAACCTTGTTTTGACATTTCATGATTAATTGCTACCTTTTATTCAATCGTTTGTCATAATCAGTTAAGAAGAAAAACATTAACAAAAAAATGCACCGTAATCATATTATTGCACCGTTTCGTATCTATGTTTTTTTAAATTTTGGCTAATTGTATTTATCAGCAAATGAATGCACGTCATAATAAATTATAAATATCTAACTTTGAAATACAACATGTTTGAAATCAAAGACTTTCGACACAACAATATTTACCTGTATCTATTATTTGTAAGTAGACATTTTGTAATTACCTTAGAAGAAAGGGTTTTTGACTTTTGTTTTTTTGTCATTATTTTTATATAGAATATGTTTTGCGCATTTGTTAATCACGTTTTATTTCGAGAGGTAATATGTATCAGAATAAATAGGCTATTTTTATTTCGTGAAGATATAATTTTTAATTGTATAGAAAAAAAAAAAGTTTGACAATTTAATGAAGATTCTGTGATTATAAAATAGTACGAAAAATAAAAAAAATTTTCAAGGTTAATCATGAACAGCAATTCGTAATAAACGAATTTTATAAGATACAGTAATCAAAATAAATTAATGTCTTAGATATACATTGCATAGATAGTATGTTTGTTGAATTTTATTTATTTCTAACAGAACATATAAAATAAACCAGTCCCTAGTGATTCATCTATTTCGTTATCACTGATAAGAAAAAGTAAAAAAAAATAAACTTTGAGTGATAAAAAGTCATATGAAAAACTTATGTTGGTAAACGTACATGAAGTGTATTGCGAGTAGATTGATTATTATTAATAGTTAGATTTTGATACTTTTCACAGACGTCTGGAACATAATTAAGAATATTATTATATATGTTGGTGTTAGTTGAATATGAAGAATTCGTATGATTATTTTTTGGTACATCCATTAGTAAATGTCGTATATTTATTGAAACCGGTTGACCAACACGAATTTGTTCATTTGAAATATCAATTAAAAACATATCGATAGGTATAGATGCCGAACGTTCGATCCGAGATGATTTATCATTCATATTTTGTTTATATGATTGTTCATCCATATTTATTGTTGCTGACGATTGAGCACATGTTGATGTTTGATAGGATTCTATGCGATGATCCTGACCTGATGTAGTACGAACAATACTCGGTATTGATCGTACTCGAAGAGGATCAGTGTGAATAGATGTACGATTGGATGCGTGTTCTGTTCGCGAAACAGGATGTCTTCGACCATGTAAACGATATTGATGGTAGACTGACTGATCTATCGAATGTGTCGTTTGAGTATGCTTATCATGAATAACATTCATCATTTTAGCACGCTTTTTACCTTTACAAGTAGATGACATTGAACCCATAATCGATTGATACCGTTATTGATTTCTTATCTATCTATTGAATCTTCTTCTTGTTTTTATTCTATCAAAAAAAGGACTGAAATATACAATCATCTCCACCACCTGTATGTACATAGTAGAGAAGATTAAAAATCAGATATACATCTTTGACAAAAGAAATGAGATGAACCTTTGCTATTTCTTTTCATATATTTTTATAGATCCAAAAACAAATAGTTATTTATATCACTGCACTTTAATAGTAACATTCAGTCCCAGGATGATTGACGAACAATCAATTTCTTTTTTGTTTCATATACTTCTATCTAACGTCCTCTTTTGGAATATTTTTATTATTTCTTTTTCATATAGAGGTCAACAAACAATGACTCAAGATGAAGATTACATTGCATGATTACGCATAATATTTCTTCTGCTGTTCTGTTGAACAAATATAGCTACGTGAACAAGAATTTTTTTTATTAATTATAAAAATGTCCGACGAAGAGTAAGCCATTTAGGCTGCTATCATCAATACTTTGATTCTTTCTGCTAATCAAATTTTTTTTCTTGCTATAATTATGAGTAAACCACGAACTGAGCATCGTCAGCTACCAACACCAATGTCTTCATCAAAGTAAACGCTGTGTATCTATGTCGTTTGCTACTGTCTATTAAATTTATTGTGTTTTTTTTTTAATTAAAATTTGATTTCATGTACTTAATATTATATAATCTTCTAGAGCAATGGCTTCATCTCCTGGTGTTACTGATGATCGGCAAAAAGTGAATATTCGAATTAACGATATTTCAGCTATTAATATTCACAAAGCTGCTGTAACACGTGATTATATTAAACAACCACGATTAAGTAAAATAAATAAATTTCTCTATAAATGATTAATAACTGGGTTTTTTTTCTTCTAGCATATAAAACTGTTGTTGGTGTCAATGGTCCATTAGTTATTTTAGATAATGTTAAATTTCCAAAATTTGCTGAAATTGTTAATTTAACATTACCAGATGGTACTGTACGTAGTGGACAAATTCTTGAAGTATCAGGATCAAAAGCTGTCGTACAAGTTTTCGAAGGAACAGCAGGCATTGATGCAAAATATACAACTGTAGAATTTACTGGTGATATTTTACGAACACCAGTTTCAGAAGATATGCTTGGTCGTATATTTAATGGTTCAGGAAAACCAATTGATCGTGGTCCATCAGTTTTAGCTGAAGATTATTTAGATATTAACGGTATATATATATTTTCTGAATAATATTATTATTTTGAATGACTATCCCATAAATAGGTGAACCAATTAATCCATTTTCACGTGAATATCCAGAAGAAATGATTCAAACAGGTATATCAGCTATTGATGTTATGAATAGTATTGCTCGTGGTCAAAAAATTCCAATATTTTCTGCAGCTGGTTTACCACATAATGATGTAAACTATTTCTTTTCGTATTTTTATTCTTATTTTACCAAAATTTATTTTTCAAAAACTAGATTGCTGCACAAATATGTCGTCAAGCTGGTCTTGTTAAACATGGAAAAAGTACAGTTGATACCGGCGATGATAATTTCGCTATTGTTTTTGCAGCTATGGGTGTAAGTTGTTAATCTAATTTCAATATTAACAAAAATTCTATCGTTGATCTTTTTCTTTTGAAAAGGTTAATATGGAAACAGCCAGATTTTTTAAACAAGATTTTGAAGAGAATGGTTCAATGGAAAATGTTTGTTTATTTTTAAATTTAGCTAATGATCCAACGTAAGAAGAATATTTTTGTTCTTTCATATTTAATTATTTTACTAATAGAATTGAACGTATTATTACACCACGTATTGCATTAACAACTGCAGAATATCTTGCTTATCAATGTGATAAACATGTCTTAGTTATTTTAACTGATATGAGTTCATATGCCGAAGCTTTACGAGAAGTTTCAGCTGCTCGAGAAGAAGTACCTGGTCGTCGCGGTTTTCCAGGTTATATGTACACAGATTTAGCAACAATCTATGAACGTGCAGGACGTGTAGCTGGTCGACATGGTTCAATTACACAAATTCCAATTTTATCTATGCCGAATGATGGTAAATATATATATATGAATAAAATATCTTGAAAATATTATATTTTCTTATATAGATATTACCCATCCAATTCCGGATTTGACTGGTTATATTACCGAAGGGCAGATCTATGTCGATCGTCAATTACATAATCGACAAGTAAGTAACATATAATAGTAATTTTATTCATTATCAAGAAATTTTTAAATTAGATCTATCCACCAATTAACGTTTTACCATCATTATCACGTCTTATGAAATCTGCTATTGGTGAAGGTATGACACGAAAAGATCATGCTGATGTTTCGAATCAATTGGTATTGAATATTTTATTTTAAATTCTTTTCAAAATGTAATATATTCTTTTCTTCTTCAGTATGCTAATTATGCTATCGGAAAAGATATAGCAGCAATGAAAGCTGTCGTCGGTGAAGAAGCCTTATCATCAGAAGATTTACTTTATTTAGAATTTTTAGGCAAATTCGAAAAGAATTTTCTTACCCAAGGTACTGATATGATATGAAACGGAAATTTCTTTTTTTCTTACCTAGAAATTTCATTTATTTGATTAGGTGCCTATGAAAATCGAACAATAGCTGATTCATTAGATGTTTGTTGGCAATTACTTCGTACATTTCCACGTGAAATGCTTAAACGTATTCCACATAATATTCTTCAAGAATTCTATCCACGAGATGGTGGAAAACATGCGCAACAAGCAGCAACAACAACAACTGGATAACGCTACTATTTTATTCATTTTCTTTTTGTCTTATGCATTTATTTGTCTTATGTTCGTTTGTCTAAAAAAAATAGTGCAATACCGAACCTACTATAGTGTAATTGTTGTAAAACACCGGTTGTATCCCGACATTCCCCACGAAACACAAAAAAAAAATTCTTTTGATATTCCATATTTCTTTATGTGATTTTATTTATTTTTTAGTCTATTCCCCTAGATCTTCTCCTATATAGATGTATGCATCTTGTTTTCTTTTCTTATTTCTTGTATAATCATTTATTGTTTACGCGTACGGTCTTTTTTTCCAAGTATAAAATTATTATTTCGACATAAATTATGCAAATATAATCATTGCGACATTCAACTTATTTTAGATCAATTTAACATATAACATTTAAATATATCAGGATAATACATAGTTGAGTTTTAACGTTCATCTAGTTTATAATAAATAAAACACCCGATTTTCTAGTTATTATCGTATGACCGATCAGAATATAATTAATCTTCGTTCAGCGGATCCATTCGCTGATGTGACCGGTTCAAGTGCATTGGATAGTGGAGCTCCTGGAGGCGCCGGTGGCCAACGTAGCTCTAATTTAATTCATATTCGTATTCAACAACGAAGTGGAAAAAAAACTTTAACTACCGTTCAAGTATATACATACTTATTGATATACAGGGTTTTTTCTTATTTGACTTAGTTAATTTAGGGTATTGGAGAAGAGTTCGATAAAAAACGTTTGTTACGTGCATTCAAAAAGAAATTTGCTTGTAATGGTACTGTTGTTGAACATCAAGAATATGGTGAAGTTATTCAACTCCAAGGCGATCAACGAACCAATGTAAGTCAATTTCTCAAGGAAATTGGTATTTGTCAAACTGAACAACTTAAAGTCCATGGTTTTTGAATATAATCATTATTCATCACACACAATTTCTTATATTCGAAATAAAAGACTATATACTTGTGTTCCATGCATTGCTCCGTTTTTTATGTTTATTATTCAACTTTATTTCTCAAAATATATATATATATATATACCAACATGAAGCATCGTTTTAATTTAATATTGTATATTGTACTAAAAGAATATTAACATAAAAATAATACGTTTTGTAAATAGAATTTTTCTTGTTATTTCATTTCGAATCTTATTGATAAACTTTTTATAATTTTAACAAATTTTACTATAAGTCGTATTTAACTTAATATTTATCGGTTATGATGTTCACTATACTTTAACAACGATAATCATTTACAGTTGAATTAGATTTTGATAGATGCCGGATGAGTTATAGAACTCAAATAGGAATATAAGAAAAAATAATTAACATTTTTACAGATGAAAAGAAATTAAACCCATAAAATTTCCATCAGTTTACTTAAATGCTATTATATTTAACGCCTTAAACTATATATTCTCTACACCTAACAACGTTGCTTTTCTTTATTATTTGTTTGATTGAATTATAAATTTTTGATATACATTATTTATTCCTTGGGATTAAATAACTTCTATGTCTATCTTTCATCAAATTTGTGATAATATTGCTAATTAACATTAATTTAGAGATGACAGATTTTTTTT